TCGGGTTTTTTGTTGTGCTAGATTGTCTCGGGTTTCTGCCGCACCACAATCCCGTGCACTCTGCATACCCCCCGGCAGCCGCTGCAATGCTGAACATCAAGAGCGTGTTGGGTGCGACCTTCACCACGTGGGATGCCGCATCACCGTGCCGCGTGGAAAACTCGACAATGGCCGTTGCGGGCGAGTGGACGGGCGTCTCCTGCACGGTTGGCGGCAAAGTGTCGGCCCTGTGAGTGCATGCTGGAAAGTTGTCGGTCAGTGTGTGTCGCTATGATCCTCCTGTTTCAAGCAGCATGCGTGCATCCTCTCACCGCTGTGCCTCTTCAATGTTCCAACTTCCACCTGCTGTACATCTTCTCACAGATTCATCTGCCCACCCGGCTTTGCGTTGCGTGCTTTCTTCTAAACATTCTTCCACAAACGCATCAGGTCCTTCCCTACCGCACAACTCAAGGGCTCATTCCATGCTGACATCACTCTCACGGCTCTTACCTTCCTGTGAGCTGGGTCACATTGGGAAGCTATATTTCCTTCTAATCCCAATGCTTCTGCCTGCCCATAGGTTGCTTCCCCTTTCTTTTTCTTTCAGCATGCATGATTGCATTAGTTGCGTGAAACTCGCTTGAGCTACCTAGTGAAGCCATGATGCATATGGGTAAGGTTCAATCAGAATGACATGACAACCGCCTGTTTCACCCTCTGCTCGCCCCTACCAGCAACCTGGTAAACAATCTCTTCAACTACCGCCTTGACTCCTTCTTCACCAACATGCGAGCCCTGCCACTGCTGGCCGACATGTGAGTGCGGGAGGGCTGCTGGCTAAGGAGAAGGGGTGCTCCCGCTCCCGATCGTCCGTCCGCTCTCTACATTTATGCCCGCTCAAGCTTCTCGATTTGTGGGGGCGCCTCAAACGTCATGTCTGCTCATCCTTGTCCCTCCCTTGCACATGCCACCACGTCTTACACTCACCCCATCGCTGCCCTTGTTGCCTGTGCTGCTGTCACAGCCGCCTGCACTACAACTACTTCTACGGGGAGGTCCCCTCCTTCCTTGTGGGCCTCCCAAAGATGACTCTGCTGTAAGTCGTCTGATAAGACCTTCTATAACCCTCTGTGTTTCTCTACTTTCTTCTTCTTTCCACCTTCCCGCCTTCTCCTTCCTTACTCTCCATCCCCTCTGCCTGCACGAAGTTGCTGTTGAGGCTGTAGAGGCCTAGTGTAAGTCGTCTGGAAAGACTTTCTATAACGATCTTTGCTGCCTTCCACCTTCTCTGCTCCCGCATTCTCGTTCCTCATCCCCTATCCATTCTACCACTCTGTAACGGTAGCTTAATGCCCACACTATGTGCCGCTATTGACCATGCCGTGTGCCGCTATTGACCATGCGGTGTGCCGCTATTGACCATGCGGTGTGCCGCTATTGACCATGCTGTGTGCCGCTATTGACCATGCCGTGTGCCGCTATTGACCGTGCCCTGCCCGCCCTGCTCCCCCTTGTGGCCAGTGGCATGGTGGACAACTACCTAGTGGGGTCGGTACCTGCACTGGCGGCTGGGCTGCGCGTCTTGGATGTGGGTTACAACTTCCTCACGGACGTCCCAGCAGTCACCTACACCTTCTGTGGCGGCGTCAACAACTGCCTGCTCACGCCCTCCAAGTGCCCCAACTCCGGCGCCGAAACCACTCAGAAGCCCGCGGCGAGCTGTGCCATCTGCGGCACCACCAACGGCGTCGGGCCCTGTGCTGGGACGGGGGGAGGAGTTTGCACGGCGAATGCGTCTGCCGCCGTGGTTGCCGGCACTGTAAACTCGCTGTCACAGCCTCTGCTGCCCATGACCTGCGTGGGCGGCACGGCAGTGGCCATGAAAGCAGCAGAAGGTGAGGACTTACCTCCTCCTTCCTATGAAAGCAGAAGGTGATGCTTGCTCTCGAGGCTGGGCGTCACTGTCACCACGAGACCCCTGCGGCGGCTCACCAGCGCCGTTCTGCTCTGCTCTTCTCTGCAAGAAATATGGGGTGTTTCGAAATCTCCACCCCCTTCCCTGCCTTTGGTGTGCCTTGGCGGCTTCACACACTCCATCCCCTCTTTCCCTGCTCCCCATCCCGCCATGCTACTTTTTCTTTCCGTGCTGGCCCTTAAGGCATCGCCTGTCACTGTCACCACCGGAGCCACCACTGCGACCTGCAAACTCCAGCGGCTCACCAGCACCACCGCGCGCTCCTCCATACTCCCTCACAATCCTCTGCTCCGCAAGCAAGTCTGGGTCTGTTTCAATCTCCTTCCCCCCCCCCCTGCGCCCCATCCGGCCATGCCTGCTGTGCGCTCATCAGCGGCGGCCATGCTGAGCATCAAGTCGGCCCTGGGACTCACCTTCACCACCTGGGCCACCACTAACGCCTGCCAGCTCGGTGGCGCCGCCTCCACTCCTGGCGTGTGGGACACACTGTCATGCAACAGCAACGGAGGTGTCATTCAGATGTAAGCGCCGCGTCGAGACACCGAGTCGTTGATTCCCTTGTAGATGCAGCAGTGCCACTTTCCAGGCGGTGTCTCCAGCAAGTGCATTCTGCCAGGAGCTCATGCACTGACCTGCTTGTCCCATGTGGCAGATACCTCCGGGACCTCGGCATCACTCGTAAGAGCTTCCCCGCCGACGTCAGCAAGCTCACAGCCTTAACGGGGATGTGAGTAGACACGCATTGCAGCCCTTGGCTTCTTGCTTTTGTTATTGTTGTTGCAACTTTCCGCTTGTGTGGAGACCCAGTCTGAGCGGCAGCGTGTGTTGGTGCCACGTGTGTGCAGAGTGCTGATGAACCAGATTCTGGATGGCGACCTCGGCAAGTACCTCAGCGTCTTCAGCTCGCTCACCACCTTGAAGTCCCTGTGAGTCTCTCAACATGATGGCCCAACTGGATCTATGCGAGCAACACCTTTGGATTCTTTCACTGTCAACCGACCGGCTCAGATCAACGAGCTTATGCTGATGCACCTTGCGTGCTCGTCCGTTTCTGCTTGTTGTCCGGTGCACGCGTGGCAGCTCCCTGCAGTACAACTGGTTCACCGGGACATTCCCAAGCGTGCTCGTGAGCGCTCTCAGCGTGACAGAGCTGTGAGTGCAGCAGCTGAGGAACCACTAGCGCCATGTCGCCTCTCTCTCTCACATTCCCTCTCATCCGTTCTCTTGCTTCCGCTACTCCCCTCTCCTCCTTTACCTTGCCCGCCTTGGACTGCATGGTAGCAAGATCCTGCCAGAGCCTAGTTCACAGTGAATGATATGATTTTGCCCTCGTTTCCCCAGAATGCCTGACGACACACACAAATCCACCTGATAAACTCTGCCTCGGCTCCTCCCTCTCTCACTTACTCTCTCGTCTCCATTCCCTCCATTCTCTCACACTCGCCGGCCTTTTCCCATCATTCGTCCCTCCCTCTCTCACTCCGACACTTCCGCCCCTCCCTGACTCAATTGGAGGTCGTTCCCGATGAAACCCCCTCATGCCAAACACGTGTCTTTCCTGACCCACAGGAACATCTACGAGAACTGTCTGTACGGCACGCTGCCGGCCGCTGTGACGTCGATAAAGTCGCTGGAAGTGGGGCGCAACTACTTCACGGGCACCATGCCCACCGGCTCCTCCTGGTCCCACTGCGGCGCTGCCTCCAACTGCCTCGCCAGCACCGGCAACTGCGGCAGCGGCGGGCAGAGAAGCACCGGCTGCACCAGCATCTGCTCCAGCACGGATGGCTCGGGCTGTGGGTCAGCGGGCACGTGCGCGGCGGATACCGACGCAAAGATCGCCAGCTCTCTCAAGCACACAGCAGGCGTCGACGTGGCGTTTAAGTGTAACTCAATCCTGAGCGTCCCCATAAACGCGACGGATGGTGAGTGCTTCCTCTCCTCTCCTCATACACCTCTCTTCAGTCGGCCGTTTTGAAGTTGTCTTGCATTGCACTACGTTGTTTTGGATTTATGCCACACCACTCACATGCAGCCCCACCCCACACACCACCCCACATGCAGCTGCCGCAATGCTGAACATCAAGAGCGTGTTGGGTGCGACCTACACCACATGGGATGCCGCATCACCGTGCCGCGTGGAAAACTCGACGGGGGCCGTTGCGGGCGAGTGGACGGGCGTTTCCTGCACGCTTGCCGGCAAGGTGTCGGCCATGTGAGTGAGAGCATGTTGGCAAGGTGTCGGCCATGTAATGCATGCTGCAAGGTGTTGTGATCATCCTCCCGTTTCAAGCATTATCCATGGATCCTCTTACTGCTGTGCTGCTTCATTTATTTTACCGGCATATATCGTCTCACCAGATTCATCTGCCCACCCGATGTTGCGTGTAATTTCCGAACAAACGCTTCCCTTGGAACGCATCAGGTCTTTTATTGGCGCACAACTCAAGGGCTCACTCCATGCTGATATCTCCACCCTCACGGCTCTTACCTTCCTGTAAGTTGAGCCTTCCTTGGCAGTTTTTCACCCGCTCGATAGTCACAATGCTTTCGATAGGCGGCTTTCTAAGAACAAGCATGCACTATGGGCCATGATTTGATGCATGTAGAGACTTAAATTCATGCGTGTAGAGCCATGATGTGATGCATGAAGAGCCATGATTTGATGCATGTGGTTATTGTTCAAGCACAATGACATGACCACCGCCTGCTTCACCCTCTGCCCGCCCCTACCAGCGTCTTGCAAAGCAATCTCCACTTTTACCGCCTCGATTCCTTCACCACTAATCTTCGAAGCCTGCCACTGCTGGCTGACATGTGAGTGCGAGTGGGTTGAGGGCAAGGGCGAAGGGGTGAGAGAGGGAGACCACGGTGGTGTCGTCCTGTCTCTACTCAGCTTCTCTCCCACTCCCGCTTCTCTCTCATTCTTCTTCCCACCACCAGTCTCTCTTCACACTTGCTCAACCTACTTTATTGTGGGCCGCTTCACACAAAGCTCATGCCTTGACAATCTTTGCCCTCGTTGCCTGTGCTGCTGTCACAGCCGCCTGCACTACAACTACTTCTACGGGGAGGTCCCCTCCTTCCTTGTGGGCCTCCCGAAGCTCACTCTGCTGTAAGTCTTCTGATAAGACCTTCTATAACGCTCCATGTTTTCCACCTTCCGTGCTCCTGCATTCTCCTTCCTCACGCTTCCATCTGATCTGCCCACGCCGCTATTGACCGTGTGCCGTCCGCCCTCCTCCCCCCTCCCACCAGTGGCATGGTGGACAACTACCTAGTGGGGTCGGTACCTGCACTAGCCAGCCAGCTGCGCATCTTGGATGTGGGTCACAACTTCCTCACGGACGTCCCAGCAGTCACCTACACCTTCTGTGGCGGCACCAACAACTGCCTGCAAACGCCCTCCAAGTGCACCAACTCCGGAACCTCTCAGAGGCCCGCCGCGGACTGTGCCTTCTGTGGCACCAGCAACGGCGTGGGGCCCTTCTGCACGCCGGGGAATGGAGTGTGCTCGCCGAATGCGGCTGCGGCTGTGGCTGCCGGCACTACTAACGTGTTGGCGCAGCCTGCGCTTCCTGTATCGTGCATCGGCGCCACATCGGTGCCCCTCACCGCCGCAAACGGTGAGCTCTTCCTTCGCTCCCTCCCTCCCATCATTCTTTCCTTCATTCCTTCCTTCCTCCCATCCTCCCTTCGTCCCTTTCTTCCTTCCTTCCTTCTTTCTTTCCTTCCTTCCTTCCTTCCTCCCTCCCTCCCTCCCTTCCTCCCTCCCTCCCTCCCTCCCTCCCTCCCTCCCTCCCTCCCTCCCTCCCTCCCTCCCTCCCTCCCTCCCTCCCTCCCTCCCTCCCTCCCTCCCTCCCTCCCTCCCTCCCTCCCTCCCTCCTTCCTTCCTTCCTTCCTTCATTCCATCCTTCCATCCTTCGTTCCCTCCGTCCTTCCCTCCTTCCTTCTGTTCTTCCTTCCGTTCTAACCATCCGTCCGTCTGTCCTTCCTTCCATCCTTCTTTATGCTCTTCCTTGTTGCCTTCCTTGTTTTTCCTCCTTATTTCTTTCCGTATTTTCTTCCTTATTTCCTTCTTCCTTCCTTATTCCCTTCCTTATTCCCTTCTTCCTTACTTATTCCCTTCATTTTTTCCTTCATTATTGCCGCCCTGAATGTTCTTCTTACCGCACATTGCCACGACCGCACTGTGCTCTGCTTCACAACCTCTCCCCCCTTTTCCCTGCGCCCCATCCCGCCATGCGTGCTGTGCGCTCATCAGCGGCGGCCATGCTGAGCGTCAAGTCAGCTCTGGCGCTCACCTTCACCACCTGGGCCACCACGAACGCCTGCCAGCTCGCTGGCGCCGCCTCCACTCCTGGTGTGTGGGACACACTGTCCTGCAACAGCAACGGCAATGTCATTCAGATGTAAGCACGTAGACCTAGACCAATGAAGTGCAGCAAGTGCAGCCTGCCATGAGCTCATGCGCACTGACCTGCTTGTTCCATGTGGCACCCACCTGCTTGTTCCATGTGGCACCGACCTGCTTGTCCCATGTGGCAGATACCTCCGCGACCTCGGCATCACTCGTAAGAGCTTCCCTGCCGACGTCAGCAAGCTCACCGCTTTAACGGGGATGTGAGTAGACACGCATTGCAGCCCGAGGCATCTAAAATTTTATTTGTTGCTGCAGCCTATGTGGAGACCTAGTCTGAGGCGCAGCGTGTGTTGCTGTCATGTGCAGAGTGCTGATGAACCAGATTCTGGATGGCGACCTCGGCAAGTACCTCAGCGTCTTCAGCTCGCTCACCACCTTGAAGTCCCTGTGAGTCTCTCAACATGATGGCCCAACTGGATCTATGCGAGCAACACCTTTGGATTCTTTCACTGTCAACCGACCGGCTCAGATCAACGAGCTTATGCTGATGCACCTTGCGTGCTCGTCCGTTTCTGCTTGTTGTCCGGTGCACGCGTGGCAGCTCCCTGCAGTACAACTGGTTCACCGGGACATTCCCAAGCGTGCTCGTGAGCGCTCTCAGCGTGACAGAGCTGTGAGTGCAGCAGCTGAGGAACCACTAGCGCCATGTCGCCTCTCTCTCTCACATTCCCTCTCATCCGTTCTCTTGCTTCCGCTACTCCCCTCTCCTCCTTTACCTTGCCCGCCTTGGACTGCATGGTAGCAAGATCCTGCCAGAGCCTAGTTCACAGTGAATGATATGATTTTGCCCTCGTTTCCCCAGAATGCCTGACGACACACACAAATCCACCTGATAAACTCTGCCTCGGCTCCTCCCTCTCTCACTTACTCTCTCGTCTCCATTCCCTCCATTCTCTCACACTCGCCGGCCTTTTCCCATCATTCGTCCCTCCCTCTCTCACTCCGACACTTCCGCCCCTCCCTGACTCAATTGGAGGTCGTTCCCGATGAAACCCCCTCATGCCAAACACGTGTCTTTCCTGACCCACAGGAACATCTACGAGAACTGTCTGTACGGCACGCTGCCGGCCGCTGTGACGTCGATAAAGTCGCTGGAAGTGGGGCGCAACTACTTCACGGGCACCATGCCCACCGGCTCCTCCTGGTCCCACTGCGGCGCTGCCTCCAACTGCCTCGCCAGCACCGGCAACTGCGGCAGCGGCGGGCAGAGAAGCACCGGCTGCACCAGCATCTGCTCCAGCACGGATGGCTCGGGCTGTGGGTCAGCGGGCACGTGCGCGGCGGATACCGACGCAAAGATCGCCAGCTCTCTCAAGCACACAGCAGGCGTCGACGTGGCGTTTAAGTGTAACTCAATCCTGAGCGTCCCCATAAACGCGACGGATGGTGAGTGCTTCCTCTCCTCTCCTCATACACCTCTCTTCAGTCGGCCGTTTTGAAGTTGTCTTGCATTGCACTACGTTGTTTTGGATTTATGCCACACCACTCACATGCAGCCCCACCCCACACACCACCCCACATGCAGCTGCCGCAATGCTGAACATCAAGAGCGTGTTGGGTGCGACCTACACCACATGGGATGCCGCATCACCGTGCCGCGTGGAAAACTCGACGGGGGCCGTTGCGGGCGAGTGGACGGGCGTTTCCTGCACGCTTGCCGGCAAGGTGTCGGCCATGTGAGTGAGAGCATGTTGGCAAGGTGTCGGCCATGTAATGCATGCTGCAAGGTGTTGTGATCATCCTCCCGTTTCAAGCATTATCCATGGATCCTCTTACTGCTGTGCTGCTTCATTTATTTTACCGGCATATATCGTCTCACCAGATTCATCTGCCCACCCGATGTTGCGTGTAATTTCCGAACAAACGCTTCCCTTGGAACGCATCAGGTCTTTTATTGGCGCACAACTCAAGGGCTCACTCCATGCTGATATCTCCACCCTCACGGCTCTTACCTTCCTGTAAGTTGAGCCTTCCTTGGCAGTTTTTCACCCGCTCGATAGTCACAATGCTTTCGATAGGCGGCTTTCTAAGAACAAGCATGCACTATGGGCCATGATTTGATGCATGTAGAGACTTAAATTCATGCGTGTAGAGCCATGATGTGATGCATGAAGAGCCATGATTTGATGCATGTGGTTATTGTTCAAGCACAATGACATGACCACCGCCTGCTTCACCCTCTGCCCGCCCCTACCAGCGTCTTGCAAAGCAATCTCCACTTTTACCGCCTCGATTCCTTCACCACTAATCTTCGAAGCCTGCCACTGCTGGCTGACATGTGAGTGCGAGTGGGTTGAGGGCAAGGGCGAAGGGGTGAGAGAGGGAGACCACGGTGGTGTCGTCCTGTCTCTACTCAGCTTCTCTCCCACTCCCGCTTCTCTCTCATTCTTCTTCCCACCACCAGTCTCTCTTCACACTTGCTCAACCTACTTTATTGTGGGCCGCTTCACACAAAGCTCATGCCTTGACAATCTTTGCCCTCGTTGCCTGTGCTGCTGTCACAGCCGCCTGCACTACAACTACTTCTACGGGGAGGTCCCCTCCTTCCTTGTGGGCCTCCCGAAGCTCACTCTGCTGTAAGTCTTCTGATAAGACCTTCTATAACGCTCCATGTTTTCCACCTTCCGTGCTCCTGCATTCTCCTTCCTCACGCTTCCATCTGATCTGCCCACGCCGCTATTGACCGTGTGCCGTCCGCCCTCCTCCCCCCTCCCACCAGTGGCATGGTGGACAACTACCTAGTGGGGTCGGTACCTGCACTAGCCAGCCAGCTGCGCATCTTGGATGTGGGTCACAACTTCCTCACGGACGTCCCAGCAGTCACCTACACCTTCTGTGGCGGCACCAACAACTGCCTGCAAACGCCCTCCAAGTGCACCAACTCCGGAACCTCTCAGAGGCCCGCCGCGGACTGTGCCTTCTGTGGCACCAGCAACGGCGTGGGGCCCTTCTGCACGCCGGGGAATGGAGTGTGCTCGCCGAATGCGGCTGCGGCTGTGGCTGCCGGCACTACTAACGTGTTGGCGCAGCCTGCGCTTCCTGTATCGTGCATCGGCGCCACATCGGTGCCCCTCACCGCCGCAAACGGTGAGCTCTTCCTTCGCTCCCTCCCTCCCATCATTCTTTCCTTCATTCCTTCCTTCCTCCCATCCTCCCTTCGTCCCTTTCTTCCTTCCTTCCTTCTTTCTTTCCTTCCTTCCTTCCTTCCTCCCTCCCTCCCTCCCTTCCTCCCTCCCTCCCTCCCTCCCTCCCTCCCTCCCTCCCTCCCTCCCTCCCTCCCTCCCTCCCTCCCTCCCTCCCTCCCTCCCTCCCTCCCTCCCTCCTTCCTTCCTTCCTTCCTTCATTCCATCCTTCCATCCTTCGTTCCCTCCGTCCTTCCCTCCTTCCTTCTGTTCTTCCTTCCGTTCTAACCATCCGTCCGTCTGTCCTTCCTTCCATCCTTCTTTATGCTCTTCCTTGTTGCCTTCCTTGTTTTTCCTCCTTATTTCTTTCCGTATTTTCTTCCTTATTTCCTTCTTCCTTCCTTATTCCCTTCCTTATTCCCTTCTTCCTTACTTATTCCCTTCATTTTTTCCTTCATTATTGCCGCCCTGAATGTTCTTCTTACCGCACATTGCCACGACCGCACTGTGCTCTGCTTCACAACCTCTCCCCCCTTTTCCCTGCGCCCCATCCCGCCATGCGTGCTGTGCGCTCATCAGCGGCGGCCATGCTGAGCGTCAAGTCAGCTCTGGCGCTCACCTTCACCACCTGGGCCACCACGAACGCCTGCCAGCTCGCTGGCGCCGCCTCCACTCCTGGTGTGTGGGACACACTGTCCTGCAACAGCAACGGCAATGTCATTCAGATGTAAGCACGTAGACCTAGACCAATGAAGTGCAGCAAGTGCAGCCTGCCATGAGCTCATGCGCACTGACCTGCTTGTTCCATGTGGCACCCACCTGCTTGTTCCATGTGGCACCGACCTGCTTGTCCCATGTGGCAGATACCTCCGCGACCTCGGCATCACTCGTAAGAGCTTCCCTGCCGACGTCAGCAAGCTCACCGCTTTAACGGGGATGTGAGTAGACACGCATTGCAGCCCGAGGCATCTAAAATTTTATTTGTTGCTGCAGCCTATGTGGAGACCTAGTCTGAGGCGCAGCGTGTGTTGCTGTCATGTGCAGAGTGCTGATGAACCAGATTCTGGATGGCGACCTCGGCAAGTACCTCAGCGTCTTCAGCTCGCTCACCACCTTGAAGTCCCTGTGAGTCTCTCAACATGATGGCCCAACTGGATCTATGCGAGCAACACCTTTGGATTCTTTCACTGTCAACCGTCCGGCTCAGACCAACGAGCTTATGCTGATGCACCTTGCGTGCTCGTCCGTTTCTTCTTGTTGTCCGGTGCACGTGTGGCAGCTCCCTGCAGTACAACTGGTTCACCGGGACATTCCCAACTGTGCTCGTGAGCGTTCTCAGCGTGACAGAACTGTGAGTGCAGCAGCTCCAATGCCGCCTCTCTCTCCCACTTCCCTCCTTGTATCCTCCCTCAAACACTCGCTCTCTCGTTTTCCATTTCCTCCGCTTTGTTCGGATTACTCTCTCCCTCTCCTCAAACTCTTCCCATCTTTCTCTCCTCCCTCTTCCCCTTCCACTTCCCCTTTTTGTCATTGCCGGGGGGCATTTCTGAAACCTTTTTGCGCCACAAATGTGTGTGGTGCCTCCCCCTACAGGAACCTGTATGAGAACTGTCTATACGGCACGCTGCCCGCCGCGGTGAGCACGATAAAGTCGCTGGAAGTGGGGCGCAACTACTTCACGGGCACCATGCCCTCCAGCACCTCCTGGACCAACTGCGGCGCCTCCTCCAACTGCTTCGCCAGCGTAGGCAACTGCGGCGGCCCCTCGCAGAGAAGCACCGGCTGCACCAGCATCTGCTCCAGCACGGATGGCTCGGGCTGTGGAACGACGGGAACGTGCGTGGCGGATACCGACGCAAAGATCACCGGCTCGCTCAAGCATGCGGCAGGCGTCGACGTGGCGTTTAAGTGTGTTGCAGTCCCGGGTATTGTCGCGATGAATGCGGCGGATGGTGAGTGCTTCTTCTCCTCACGCATGTGCCTCATCTCCTCATGCATGTGCCTTCTGTTGGCCCCGTGGAAGTTTTATTTCTTTGCTCTACTACACTATTGAAATGTTAATGCTATCTGCCACACCACACTGGCTTGCAATGCAACCCTGACCACCCCATGCAGCTGCCGCAATGCTGAACATCAAGAGCGTGCTGGGTGCGACCTACATCACGTGGGCCGCCACGGCACCGTGCCGCTTAGCCAACAACTCGGTGGCCTATCCGGGCGAGTGGATGGGCGTCTATTGCACGGATACTGGCAAGGTGGCGACCATGTGAGTGCATGCTGGCAAGGTGCCGGCCTGTTTGTTTCGCTAGCATCCTGCCACTGCAAGCACCATGCATGCATGCATCCATGCATGCATCGTTCGACCGCTGTGCCGCTTCAATGTTCCGCCTGCCATACATATTCTCACCAAATTCTGCTTCCCAACAAACGCTGTCCCATGAGGCATCAGATCTCTCCTGAAGGAACAACTCAAGGGCTCACTCCATGCCGACATCTCCACTCTCACGGCCCTTACCTACCTGTGAGTTGCGCCTTTTTTGGTTGACAGGTTCCATCCGTGATAATCCCCGGTGCTTCCTGGTTGCCTATAGGAACCATTGCCTCTTTGTCGTTCCACCACATGCATGCTGCAGTAGAGTCCCGCAACTTTGACAAACTACCAAGTGATCCATGTAGTGTGGTGTAGGTTCAAGCACAATGACATAACGACTGCCTGCTTCACCTTCTGCTTGCCCATACCAGTGTCTTGCAAAGCAATCTCCTCAACTACCGCCTCGATTCCTTCACCACCAACCTTCGCTTCCTGCCACTGCTGGCCGACATGTGAGTGCGAGTGGGTAGCCGGCAAGGGAGGAGAAGGGGTGGCGGTGAGAAGAGTGAGAGCAAGAGACCATGGTGGTGGTGGTGTCGGATCTCGCCTCACTGTTCCTCCCACGCCTGTTTCCCTCTCAATGTTCCCACCGCCCACTGCTCTTGCCTGCTCAAGCTTCTCTGCTTTTAAGGCGCCTCAAAGTCATCCCTGCACCGTCCTTGCCCCTTCCACATGCCGCCTCCTCTCCGCCCCATCTCATCGCTGCCCTCGTTGCCTGTGCTGCTGTCACAGCCGCCTGCACTACAATTACTTCTACGGGGAGATCCCCTCCTTCCTTGTGGCCCTCCCGAAGCTCACTCTTCTGTAAGTTCTCTGATGACCGTGCTCGTTTCTGCTCCGTGTGGCGCGCGTTTCTGGTCAGTGTGGTGCTCTTTTCTGCTCTGTTCTGCTTTCCAAATCGCATGCTGCTTTCATCTCCTGCCTGCACCGCTATGGACCATGCCCTTCCCTTTGTGCGCTCCCCTCCCACCAGTGGCATGGTGGACAACTACTTAGTGGGGTCGGTGCCGGCGCTGGTCAGCCAGCTGCGCACCTTGGACGTGGGTTACAACTTCCTCACGGACGTCCCAGCAGTCACCTACACCTTCTGTGGCGGCATCAACAACTGCCTGCTCACTCCCTCCAAGTGCACCAACTCCGGGACCACTCAGAAGCCCGCGGCGGACTGTGCCATCTGCGGCACCAGCAAGGGCGTGGGGCCCTTCTGCTGGGGGGCGGGAGGAGTGTGCACGGCGAATGCCTCCGCTGCCGTGGCTGCCGGCACTGTCAACGCGGTGGCGCAGCCCTCGCTTCCTTTGGCGTGTGTGGGCGGCACGGCAGTGCCCATGAAAGAAAGCGCAGGTGGGCATTTGGCGATGGGCAATGGGCAGCGGGCAGTGCACAGCCAGGGCCATCCTGACGTATTCGTGCTTGAATTGCCGTGAGTCGAGATTTCACTCCACACGACTCGAGGTTGACTCGTCTCGAAGTGAGCTGGACTCGACTCGTCTTATGCTCATGTTTTATGTGGGCCATGGGCAGTGCATGGTCATGGTCCTCCTGGTGTGTCGGTGCCTCACGCTGTAGCCTCTCTGGCTGCCATGGATTGTGACCAGCTCTGCATATTCTGCTGCCTTGGCCCGCATCGTGCGGCGGCTTTTGAGACGCCTCCTTACTAATTCTGCTGACTTTTGAGACGTCTCAAAACTCATCTTCCTGCCTTGGCCCGCATCATGCGAGCCCAACTTTTCGGCGGCCACTCGGCCAAGCAACTACTCCCTGTTTCCCCGCCCCTCTCAATCCACCAGCCATGCTTGCACTGAAGTCGACGCTGGGTGTGACGTTCAACAACTGGGCGGCCACTGTGCCGTGCGCACTCAAGGGCATGACGCCATCCATGCCCACGTGGTCCAAGGTGCTCTGCGACGACAGCGGCAACGTCGTGAGCATGTGAGTGTGGGTGGGGCATGTGAGTGTGGGGCATGTGAGTGGGGCATGTGAGTAAGGTTGGTGCATGTGATGTGAGGATAGTCTCTGCCATGTGATGTCATTTGCCTTGAGATGAGAATGAACGCAAGCAGCTATGTGGCAACCATTTGTGTTGCCATGCCTAAGAAGGTCAATCTGTGAGCAAAATCCACGTGGCATTAGAAGCCATGTGCTGTGCCTTTACTTGCCAAGCCATTAAACGCCAGAAATGACACAGGCAGGTGCCGTTTGGCACCAATTTCCATGTGGCATCAGAAGATGCCCATGGCAACACATGTCATGTATGTGGCAACACATGTCACGTATGTGGCAACACATGTCACGTATGTGGCAACACATGTCATGTATGTGGCAACACATGTCATGTATGTGGCAACACATGTCACGTATGTGGCAACACATGTCATGTATGTGGCAACACATGTCATGTATGTGGCAACACATGTCACGTATGTGGCAACACATGTCATGTATGTGGCAACACATGTCATGTATGTGGCAACACATGTCATGTATGTGGCAACACATGTCATGTATGTGGCAACACATGTCATGTATGTGGCAACACATGTCATGGTTGTGGCAACACATGTCATGTGGCAACACATGTCATGGTTGTGGCAGCACATGTCATGTGGCAACAGATTCGGTGTCTGGGATCCCCCAAGATTTACCCATGAAAGCCTGCATGGTTCGCACACTCTATTTGCCCGTCTGCTTCTTCATGCCTACGCCTTCCTCCTCCTTCTCTCCCTCACCTGTGTTGTGTGGATGCCAGCGATTTGTCGGAGATGGGGCTCACGGGGTCGCTCCATTCCGACATCTCCAAGCTCACTGCGCTCACCTACGTGTGAGTGCATCTCACCCCTCACCTACGTGTGAGTGCATCTCACCCCTCACCTACGTGTGAGTACATCTCACCCCTCACCTACATGTGAGTCCATCTCACCCCTCACCTACATGTAAGTCCATCTCACCCCTCTCCTACGTGTGAGTGCATCTCACCCCTCACCTACGTGTAAGTCCATCTCACCCCTCACCTACATGTAAGTCCATCTCACCCCTCGCCTACATGTAAGTCCATCTCACCCCTCACCTACATGTAAGTCAATCTCACACTCGTCTCACACGGTGTTGCCGCCTGTGCCCGTCCCACCCTCGCCTGTGTGGGGGCGCAGGAACCTGGAGGGGGAGCTCTTCCAGGGGCCGCTCGCGGACTTCACGCCCAGCCTCTACAAGCTCGCCGCCATCAAGGACCTGTCAGCTCTCTGCCCTCGCCCTCCCCCCACCACCCCTCCTTTCACCTCTCATCCACATGTGCCCGCCTCTCGCCTAAGCCCTTGCCATCCCTGCCGTTTTGGTCCTCCCTAGCTCTCCCCCTTCCCCTCCCTTCCTCTCCACACATATCCCACGCTCTTTCTTTTCTTCTGCCCTCTTGGGCCTCCTGCTACCCTGCTCTTCCAGCCTCACATCACATCACATGTGTATACATGTGTACATGTTGCTCGCCCATATCGCCCCTTGCACCTGCTCCCTGCCCCGCAGCAACCTGGGGTACAACTGGTTCTCTGGCTCTGTACCCACCGGACTCCTCAACCTTCCCACCCTTTCCCGGCTGTGAGTCTTTGTTCGCCTTCCACACTCCCTCATACACTCATCCACGCTCCCTCGTGCACTCATCCACGCTCCCTCGTGCACTCATCCACGCTCCCTCGTGCACTCATCCACGCTCCCTCGTGCACTCATCCACGCTCCCTCGTGCACTCATCCACGCTCCCTCGTGCACTCATCCACGCTCCCTCGTGCACTCATCCACGCTCCCTCGTGCACTCATCCACGCTCCCTCGTGCACTCATCCACGCTCCCTCGTGCACTCATCCACGCTCCCTCGTGCACTCATCCACGCTCCCTCGTGCACTCATCCACGCTCCCTCGTGCACTCATCCACGCTCCCTTGTGCACTCATCCACGCTCCCTCGTGCACTCATCCACGCTCCCTCGTGCACTCATCCACGCTCCCTCGTGCACTCATCCACGCTCCCTCGTGCACTCATCCACGCTCCCTCGTGCACTCATCCACGCCATGTCTTCATAAGGCAGTGCTGCCATAACTGCTCACGACCGCTCACAACTCGAACCTCACCTGCCAAATGAACGTCCACTTTTACGGTCGTGGATCTTTCGCCCTCTTTCACCTGCCGCTCTTTCTGTGTACATGTGTACCGTCTTGCCATCGTGCCATTGTGTGCCCCCTGCAGCGTGTTGAGCTACAACTACCTCACGGGCAGCCTGGCAGCGCCGCCCAGATTGGTAGCGCTGGATGCAATCCACAACTTCCTCTACGCCATAACGCCGGCGCCGTCCATGAACTGGTGTGACGCGCGCTACAACTGCCTCGCCACCCCCTCCTCCTGCGCCATGGGTGGCACCACCCAGCGCCCCGCAGCTGACTGCGCCATCTGCGCCACCACCAACGCGCAGCCGCCTTTCTGCGGCGGCACCGGGGCGTGCTCGGCCGATTCTGGCCCTGTCGTGGCACAGGGGGTGGTCAATATCCCACCGGGCGCGCCCACGGTGCCCATGGTGTGCGGCGGCATCCCCATCGACCCTGCTGATGGTGAGCGCATGCGCCCATGGGATGCTGTGCACACTGCATCCCATCCAAGGCACACGCCGTGCATGCCTCCTGACACTCTTCAGCCCCATCTCTGCCGTCAAACCCAATGCCTTTCTCCCCCAATTTATCTCCGCCTCTCGCTTCCCCTTCTGCCCCACCAGCTGTGGTGCTGATGTCGCTCAAGTCGTCGCTGGGTGTGACACTCAACAACTGGAACCCAGCTGCGGCGTGCACGCTGGAGGGGCAGACGTTGCTGCCCGCGCAATGGGGCGGCGTGCGCTGCACAGCTACAGGCAAAGTGCTGAGCATGTGAGTGAGGGGAATGCCCATTGCCCACCTGCTGGTGATGCGCAGGTGGGGTGGGGTGTGGGTGCACTTAGCAAAAGAGATCCGGAGCATGTGGGATGTGATTGCTGGTGATTCTCTTTCCTTTTCGCACTCAATGCAATGCGCATCTCATCTCACCGATCCACCACCAATCAACCGCCTCTCACCCATCCATCGCCTCACCCCTTTACCTGCTGCCCTCATGACCATACCATGCAGTGCACTGATGCGTCAGGGGCTGCAGGGCTCCATTCATCCCGACATCTCCAAGCTCACCACGCTCACATACCTGTAAGCCCGGCTCGCTACTCACATATGTGTCAGCCCATGTCACCACACACACGTGGTATTATCATATTCCAGAGCATATCGGCAGCACAGAGGACGAAGGCAGAGTGCAGGCAGGCAGGCATGGCATGTCCACTTGCGAGCAGGCAAGGGGGTGAGCGCCACCAATCCACGCTGCTGCTCACCACTTTCTCACCCCACCGCGTGCCCCCCTGTCGACGCGCCCCTCTCTCCCCGCAGCGACCTGGGCTACAACCTCTTTGAGGGCCGCCTCGACCTCTTTGCCAACCCGCTCAAGCCCCTCTCCTCCCTCAAGGCGCTGTAAGCTCGCCAATCCATTTCCTTCCATCATGCTCACCATGATCTCTCAGCTTCTTTCACCCACTTGCACCCTGCCCTCAGTCTCGAAGCTCGCACCCCGTACACTCACCATGTACCCATCCCCCTTCTCTCTCTCCCCCAACCATTTGTCCCCACTCCCGCCCCTCCTTTCTCTCCCCCCCCCCCTCCAGCTTCTTCCACTACAACTACTTTGCCGGCTCCATCCCTTCAGCCATCGCTTCGCTGCCCCAACTCACCTCGCTGTAAGCCCATCCAGCAGCACCACCACTCCACACCGCACATGCCCTGCTCGCGTCTGGTTGCCGGCTCAGCACAACGGCCACGCCTGATGCCCCCCTTCCTCCTCTTCCCCCCACCCTCTCCCCTTTTCCCCACACCCTCCCCTCTCCCCTGCAGCGGCCTCTTCTCCAACTACCTCACGGGCACCGTGCCCATCCCCTCCAAGTCCCTCCTCGCGCTCGACTTGGGCTTTAACTACCTCTCGGGCACCTTCCCGAAGCTCGCGCTGATGTTCTGTGCGGGCGACAACAACTGCTTCCTCAACTCCACCGCCTGCCGCACCTACGGCATCGTGCAGCGCCCTGCCGGCGCCTGTGCCATCTGTGGCTCCGCTGCCGGCCAGGGCGACCTCTGCTTTGGCGGCTCCTGCGCTCCCAGCGCCACTGCTGCTGTCAGTGCTGGCACTATCAACTCGCCCAATCAGCCGCTTCTGCCCATGGCATGCGCAGGTGGGTGTGCTGGGGACACATGGCAAGGCATGGGCTTACAAGCCTATGTAATCCCAACATTCCCTTGTGCCGCATAGAGAATGCCAATGTTTCGGCCTTCACAACTGTGTGTGACCTTCGCACCTGTGTGTCACCTTCGCACCCGTGTGTTAATCGCACCCCGCCTGTTCCATCTGGCCTCACCTTCCTCATCCCTCCTGCCATGTTGCTCCCTTCCCCATCCCCCCGTGCAGACAATCCCGCCACACCGATGGACACTGGCTCAGGTGAGTGCGCTTCGCACACCCTCTTTGCCACCATTCACCCGTGTATTGCCGCACCTTTCTTTCATGCTTTGCATCTTCTCCTCTGCCTTTCTAGCACTCTCTTGCACAGACCCAGGTGCGACTGTCACTCACTCCCTTCAGCTCTCGTCCGTCCCTCGCTCTCATTTCTCTACCACCTCTCGTCCCCTCCCTGCCTGTCTGCAGCGCTGGCGCTGTTGAACGTGAAGTCAGCGCTGGGAGTGACGTTCACCAGCTGGAGCTCTGCTTCGCCCTGTGCTGTCGTCAACGCCACTCTCACCGTCGGAGGCACCTGGACTGGCGTCACCTGCTCCACTACTGGCAACGTCCTCAGCTTGTCAGTGCTCTGCGCCCCTGCTCCCTGCTCTGCCTCCTGCTGCTGCTTTCATCTTGAAACATCTGCCGCTCCCCATTCTTCTGCATGCCTGTTCACTACATTTCGTAAGGCCTTGGATGCCATTTGCGCCTCCTGTCATCTCCTTCCTCCCCACCCTCCGCCCATGGGTACATACGTGCCGCACACACAGGAGCCTGTCGATGGCAGCCCTCACGGGTACCATGCATGCCGACATCTCCAAGCTCTCCACCCTCACCTACCTGTAAGTTCCCGCACCTACCTGCCACTGCCCTCACCGATCTGCCACTGCCCTCATCGCCACTACATTTCTCCCATCCCCTCTCTCGCATTCTTCTCTACCTACTCGCCTTCCACGGTCCCATCTGAGCCAGCCTCTTCCGCCTAATTTCTGCCTGCTCCCTGTCCCGGCCGCCCCGCCCTCTCCCCTTGCTCCTGTACTCCCCCCATCCGTCTGCATTCTCCTTGCCCCTCCCTCCCGTGCGTCCCTGCAGTGATCTGTCCAAGAATATTCTGCGCGCCAACCTTGACAACTTCACCTCCGCCTTCTCCGCCCTCAAGACGCTCCAGCAGCTGTCAGTGCTGCTCTCACCCGCGTTGCTCTCACCCGAGCTGCTCTCACCCGCGTTGCTCTCACCCACACTGCTCTCACCCACACTGCTCTCACCCGCACTTCTCTCACCCACGCCATGCATGATATGCCCTCATCCGCAATGCCCTCACTTTCGTTGCTTTCTCTTTCATTGCCCCTCTCACACACAAACCACAAGCTACCATGTGCCACGCACTGCGCGCTGCTCCCACGCTCATTCAATCCCAACTTGTCTTACTCCGGCTGTCCCTTGCACCTCTCCCTGCAGGCGTCTCAACAACAACTGGTTCGCAGGCTCCCTGCCTCTGCCGCTCGTGTCTCTTCCCGCTCTCACCCTGCTGTAAGCACCCACAACACACCACCACACACCAAAGTTTGCAACAGCCATTCCTGGGCGCTTCCCTCACACACAAACTACCATGTGCCATTTTGCACCAGCCATTCCTAGCGTTACAATGCTCTCAACAACAACTGGTTCGCACAAAAAATGAATGCACAAACTCACAGCAACCACACCATACAGCAGGCATGCATCCACGGACCCTCCCCATCTTCCTCCCCCTCCTTCCCCCCCCCCCCCCCCCCTCCCCCTCCCCCCTTCGCCCCTCCTCCAGCATGCTACCCACCACTTGTTACTCTCTTCCCCTTTCCAAACTAACCTCCCTAACCATCCCCTATTCTCATCCTCCCTCCCATTCTCTCATCCCTTCTGCCCACCTCCCCACCCCTTGGCAGGGACGTGCATGCGAACGCACTGACGGGATCGCTGCCCACCGTGTCGTCAACGCTGCTCTCACTCTTCCTGCACGACAACTTCCTCGCCGGCACCTTCACCCCCACCGCTGCCCTCACTGCCTGCGATGGCAGCCTCAACTGCTTCACCAGCGCCGCCGCCTGTGGCGCCAGCAGCACCACGCAGAGGGCCGCGTCTGCGTGCGCCATCTGTGGCAGCGCGGCGGCACAAGGGCTGCTGTGCTGGGGCGGCATGTGCCTGCCCACCGTCACATCCACCACCGTCCATCCGGATGGGCTCGCCCCTCCGGTCATGGCCTGCTCTGGTGCGCCCACCATCTCCCTCCCCCCTGCACGTTTCTTCATCATCCTCTTCCCTGCACGTCTCTTCATGGCCCTCCCCCCTGCGCCGTGGAGAGGAGTCTTGCTTCACGGTTTTATCTTGTTGACTTTTGAGTCGACTCAATAGTTGACTTTTGAGTCGACTCAAAAGTCAACATGGGGGGGAGTCTTGCTTCAAGGTTTTCTTCTTGTTTCTGCTCATCCCCACGCTCTCTGCTCGCTGCTGCCTGCTCGTTCGTGATCACTCTCCTCTCCTCTCGTATGAATGCCCCTAAATGTCCCTTAATGCCTCTGAATGCATTTGAATGCGTCTGAATGCCTCTGAACGCCTCTGAATGCATTTGAATGCGTCTGAATGCCTCTGAACGCCTCTGAATGCATTTGAATGCGTCTGAATGCCTCTGAACGCCTCTGAATGCATTTGAATGCGTCTGAATGCCTCTGAACGCCTCTGAATGCATTTGAATGCGTCTGAATGCCTCTGAATGCCTCTGTGGTGCAGGATCTCCTGTGGTCAACATGAGCTCCGTTGATGGTGAGAGCACATTCTGCATGCATGTAACTCCCTGTATGCATGTAACTCCCTGCATGCATGTCACTCCCTGCATGCATGTCACTCCCTGCATGCATGTCATTCGCTCTTTGCGCATCATTACCTACGTGCATGTCACTCTCAGGCCATTTCCTTACACCCATGCCATTCCCCATACACACATAATGACGCTCCTAGTCCACACCACAGACCATGCCACCTCCTTCAACCCCATGTGACGTCCTCATCTCGTCCCTCCTTCCCCCCTCCCCCCCCCCCCCCCCCCCCCCCCCCCCCTCCTGCGTGGCAGCGCAAGTGCTGGGGGTGCTGAAGAGTGCGATAGGCGTGACGTTCAGCACGTGGGCGCCCGCCACCTTCTGCACCGTGGCGCCCACCGCCATCGTTGCTGGCACGTGGGATGGCGTGCAGTGCGACTCCCTCGGCAAAGTTGTCAGCCTGTGAGTGCCGACAGCCTGTGAGTGCCGACAGCCTGTGAGTCTGCATGCTCTGCAACACTGCGTGCTGCCCCCGCCTGCCCTTTCAGCATGCACATGAAGGGAGGGTGGGTCTTCAGCTGAGCGCTTCCCTGCTTCCCCTCTTTTCACTTCTCTCCCATTGGTGTGGGTGTGCCCCCCCTTGCACACCTCGTCCTCCAGGCAACTCCCCAGCAGCAAGCTCACGGGCACGCTGCCGCTTGCCATCTCCAGCCTCGCTGGTCTCACAGCCATGTGAGCCCGCCTCCATGCCCGCCTCCATGCCTGTCGCTTCTTCACTCACGAGTCTACCCATCCAGCCATCTTGCTGACTTCAGTTGTTTATGTACATATACTTGAACACGAACGAGAGTGCCTGGAGAGCTCTGCTCCGCCCACTCCAGTTGTTATCCGACCAGTTGTGTGCCCCACTCACCTCGTTCTCCTCCTCTCCACCACTCGCCACATTCCCCCTCCCCACCGCCCCTCCCTGCAGTGACCTCTCCTCCAACCTCTTCCAGGGTCGCCTGGACGAAGTTGCCACGCAGCTGCGCCTGCTCACCAACCTCAAACTCATGTGCGTCACTCTACGCTCTACCTGCTTCTCTCCACTGCACGAGACTGCAGGAATATCGGCATTCTGGTTGCTCCTGTCTTCTTGTTGCTTTGCGCGCTGTCATGCCTTCCTTCCGTGTGCATGTCTGGTTGTTCTGCTTCTCTACCATCCCCTCACTCACACACCTGCGCCCGTGCTCCCTCACGCACCCCCACGCTCACAGCAACCTGGACTACAACTGGTTCTCGGGCTCCGTGCCTGCGTTCATGCTCACGCTTCCCAGCCTCACCGAGCTGTAAGCCCCACCTGCCCTCTTCACTCCACTGCCCCCTTCTCTCACCCCTCCACTGTCCCCTCCACGCTTCCCACCCTCAAGGAGCTGTAACCTCCCTTAACTGTTCCCTTCCCTCAACTGCTTCTTTTGTCACTCACCTCCCCCTCCTCTATCGGTATCCCAAAGAGCCTTCTGCTTCGGCCGCGTTTCCATACCCCTCGTCCCCATCCCCTCACGTCCGTCCACCCTTTCCCCTTCGCATTCACTCCGTTTATGAAAAGTGACCTCACAACTCCCCACTGCGCTCCCATCCCCCCCCACCACGCCCCCCCACTGCGATCCCATCCCCCCCCACCACGCCCCCCCACTGCGCTCCCATCCCCCCCCACCACGCCCCCCCACTGCGATCCCATCCCCCCCCACCACGCCCCCCCACTGCGCTCCCATCCCCCCCCACCACGCCCCCCCACTGCGATCCCATCCCCCCCCACCACGCCCCCCCACTGCGCTCCCATCCCCCCCCACCACGCCCCCCCACTGCGCTCCCATCCCCCCCCACCACGCCCCCCCACTGCGATCCCATCCCCCCCCACCACGCCCCCCCACTGCGATCCCATCCCCCCCCACCACGCCCCCCCACTGCGCTCCCATCCCCCCCCACCACGCCCCCCCACTGCGATCCCATCCCCCCCCACCACGCCCCCCCACTGCGCTCCCATCCCCCCCCACCACGCCCCCCCACTGTGCACTCACCAGCTCCGTGGGCTACAACTACCTCACGGGCGCGCTGCCCCCCGTCACATCGCCGCTCTCAGCTGTAGACGTGCAGTTCAACTTCCTCGCCGGCACCTTCCCCACGCTCACCCTCACCAGCTGTGCCGCGCGCATGAACTGCCTCCTCGACGCCACCAAGTGCAACAACCCCAACCGCGCCGCCGAGCTCCCGCGAGCCACAGCCGCGTGCGCCATCTGCAACACCACCAACGCGCAGGGGCGCCTGTGCAACGGCGGCGTGTGCACCGTCAACGCCACAGACCTGGTTCCTCTCGGCGTGCCCAACAGCGCCGCATCGCCCTCGCTGCCGCTCATCTGCGTGGGCGCGGCGTTTGTTGCGATGGACACGGTCCATGCGGGCGCCATGCTGAACCTCAAGGCGTCGCTGGGAGTGACCTTCAGTGACTGGAAGGCCGACTCGCCCTGCTCCCTGCCTGGGGGCGTCGCTGCTGGGTCGTGGAGTGGCGTCAGCTGTGACGGCACCGGCAAAGTGCTGAGCATGTGAGTGCAACGTGCACGGCATGTGAGTGCAATGCAAAGTGCACGGCATCTGCAAGCCCGTGCAGAGCAGATGCTGATGCAATGTGCTGCCTGCATGCATTGTGCCTGAAATATGTTGTTCCATTTCCTAGCAATGCTTCTATTACCTCGAATTTCTCATCCTGATTCATCTCCTCTCTCACTCCCCCCTGCCATTGTGTGTGCTGCTCGGCTCAACAGAGTCCTCAACTCGCAAATGCTGGCAGGCAGCATCCACTCAGACATCTCCAAACTCGCCACACTCACCTCGCTGTCAGTCCTCGTACCCTCCTCTCACTCTCACTCACCCACCTCTCGCACTCACCCACCTCTCGTTCTCACCCTCCTCTCTCACTCACCCTCTGCCCTGCCTATTCCACGATTCGCCCGTCACCCATGTTTCGCTTCTCACTGGGTGCCATTCTCCATTGTACCTCGTGCCTTGTACTCACCAACCTCCCCGCCGCTGTGTGCTGCAGCGACCTGCAGTCCAACCTGCTGCAGGGGCGCCTGGACTCCTTTGTTGCCGCCATCAAGACGCCCCTCGTGCTCAAGGAGCTGTGAGTCGCTCTGCACCCCACCCATAGATCATGCATGCATGCACTACCCGGGGCATGCATGCACTACCCGGGGCATCCATGCACTACCCGGGGCATGCATGCACCTGGCCATGCTCACCTCTGTCCAGCACAGCGCACTCACTCTCAGCACCATGCACTCTTCTCCTTTCCTCTTCCTCCACTGCTAAACGCCCCCCTTACCCCCTTGTGCTCTCCCCCCCCTCCCCCTCCCCCCCTTGCCGTGCCTGCGTGTCACTGCAGCGCTCTGCAGTTCAACTACCTGTCGGGGCAGTTCCCCTCCACGCTGCTCGCCCTCACCACGCTCTCCAAGCTGTGAGTGCTCTGCGCCAGTGCCACCATGTCTTCCCTCCCCCGTCCCTCGCACCGCCCCTCCCCATCAATTACATGCCATCCCTCACACACTTTCTCTACTCTCCAACTCTCCCATCTCCCCTCCACTAATCCCTCCCACCTACCCTCAACACCCTCCCCGTCTCTCTCCCCCTCTCTCCCCCCCCCTCCGCCTCCCCCTCCCCCAGCTCCGTGGCCTACAACTACCTCACGGGCATCTTCCCAGCAGTGCCAGCGTCCGCCAAGTCACTGGACGTGCAGAGCAACTTTCTGTCAGACGCCTTCCCCACCAACACACTCACCTACTGCGCCGCCACCTCCAACTGCCTCATAGACGCCTCCAAGTGCGCCTCGCTCGGCATCTCCCAGCGCAGTGCATCGGATTGTGCCATCTGCGGCACCACCAGCGGCCAGGGCACTCTGTGCGGCGGCGTTGCTTGCCTTGTCAACACCACCGGTGTCACGGCGCCCCCCACTGCCTCCTCGCCCCCGCTCAACCTCTACTGCACGCCTGTTGCCATGGACACCAACACCAGTGAGTGCTGCTCCTGCTATCCATCCCCCTCTCTGGATCCCTCTTACCGCCTTCCCCTTGCTAACCCCCGCCTTCCCCTTGCCTCCTCCCACCTTCCCTTGCCTTCCCCCACCTTCTCCTTGCCTCTCCGCGCCCATCCCCACTCACCCCATACCACACCACTCCACCGCCTCTCTTCTCACGTGCAGCCACGACGCTGCTGGCTCTGAAGACGGTGCTGGGAGTCACGTCCACGGACTGGGCGGCCACCACAGTGGCGCTCAAGCCCAAGGTGTTGAGGAGCGCCAGTGTGCCCATGGCTACCACTGTGGGCGCGTGCACAGTGGAGGGGCAGACCCCTGCGCCCGGCTCCTGGACTGGCGTCTTCTGCAACTCCGCTGGCGCCATCGTCAGCCTGTGAGTCCACTGCTGCTGTCATTCCACGCCTGCTGTCATTCCACCGCCTGCTGTCATTCCACGCCTGCTGTCATTCCACCGCCTGCTGTCATTCCACCCAAGGGAATGGCAGCACCGGCCCTCACCTACTCAGGCGTGTGCTCCTCTCCACCTCACACATGCTACACCGTATCATTGGAACAGCACCCCCCCTCGTGCAGGCCCCAGGGTATCTTCCACCACTCCCACTTCCCTCCCTCCTCTTGCCCACACTTTTGCTCATCCTTCTCCATCACTCAACCTCTCTCTCTCCCACCCCTCCCGTCCCGCCTTTCAAAACCTCCTCCTGCTCAACCTGCAGGAAGCTGTCCAACCAGAAGCTGACGGGAAGCTTCTCGACGGATATCAGCAAGCTCACAGCGCTTACCATGATATGCGGCACCCCAACCCACCCCTCCCACCCCACCCCATCCATGCATGCCCTCACAAGGCCATGCTCATGCCACCATGGTCACACCTGCCTTTTCCTCGCACCTGCCTTTTCCCCGCACCTGCCTTTTCTCCCGCACCTGCCTTTTCTCCCGCACTTAACTTTCCATGTAGCACATTCGAGTTCCTTCCAAGTCTCAACTGCGAAAGTACCTTTGCAATGTCTTCAAAGATGCTATCCTTCTGCGTTCAAACGCATGTGTGTGTGTGCGCATGTGATTCCATGTGTGTGCATGTGATTCCATGTGTGCGCATGTAATTCCTTATGTGTGTGCATGTGATTCCATGTGTGTGCATGTGATTCCATGTGTATGCATGTGATTCCATGTGTGTGCATGTGATTCCATGTGTGTGCATGTGATTCCATGTGTGTGCATGTGATTCCATGTGTGTGCATGTGATTCTATGTGTGTGCATGTGATTCCATGTGTGTGCATGTGATTCCATGTGTGTGCATCTGATTCCATGTGTGTGAATGTGATTCCATGTATCTGCACTGCACTTCACTCTATGCAGGGATCTGAGTGCCAACCTATTCCAGCAGCGCTTGGACGTGTTTGTGTCGCTCTTCACCTCCCTCAAAACACTCAAGTCGCTGTACGTGCTCCACTCCACTCTGTGTCACAAGCTGCACTCCCAGCATCACGCCCAGCATCACGCCCAGCATCACGCCCAGCATCACGCCCAGCACCAGCATCACTGCCACTGTTCCATGTTATATTATCGCGCCACCCAGCAGTCTCAGTGTGCCATCTATCACCTCCTGCTCCTCACCTCACTACCCGTCTCCCACCACCTCCCATGCGCCCTGCCCCCCAACAGCGCCCTGCAGTACAACTGGTTCTCCAGCTCCATACCCTCCGCCCTCCTCGCCCTCCCTGCTCTCTCCAGCGTGTAAGTCCCCCCCCCCCCCCCCCCCCCACCCTCCCCCCCTTCACCACCCTTGCTGTCTCTTGGCCCCACCCACCCCGTGCCCCAGCTCCTTCTCAGCCCCACCTGTGGTCCCCCTCAACCAACTGCTGCTCTGCTGCCACGTGCTACTCACCACATGCTCCCCATGTCTCCCTCTTGCACACAACCCCTCCTCTCTCCCCTGCGGGTGCGAGCAGCAAGTTGAACCGCAACTACCTCACGGGCGTGGTGCCGGCAGTGGGCACAGCCGTGAAGGCGCTCAACGTGGCGGGCAACTTCCTCTCGGGCTCCTTCCCCACCGCCGCCCTCACGGCGTGCGACGCGCGCTCCAACTGCTTCGTGGACGCCACCAAGTGCGCCAACACCAACGGCACGGCACAGCGGCCCGGCGCCGACTGCAGCATCTGCTTCTCCTCCGGTGCTGCTGGCGCGCTGTGTGGCGGCGGCTACTGCATGCCCGATGCCACCGTGCCGGCCAGCACAGCCACGCCCAACACAGACGGGCAGGCGCTGCTGCCCATGTTCTGCCAGGGCGGGCCCATTGAGATCACCATGCGCGGCGCCATGCTGAACCTCAAGGCGTCGCTGGGCGTGACGCTCACGGACTGGGCTGCTGCGTCGCCGTGCACGATTGCAGGGCAGAACCCCGTGGTGGGCGCGTGGTCCAAGGTGCTGTGTGACACCGCCGGCAAGGTCATCAGCATGTGAGTCGCACTGCCGTTCACGCTCCCTGTGAGTAGCTGAAGCAGGATGGATGAAGGCTGTAGACCGCACGCACGGCTTGACTGCACGTGTATCCTGCTGCATGCTCCCCCCCCCCGCAATGGTTCACATTGGTCCCCTTTCCACGTGCCCCCTCTCCTGTGTTGCTTGTCTGCAGCGACCTCACATCCCAGCTGTTGAAGGGCACCATTCATGCTGACATCACCAAGCTCACCACTCTCACCTCCCTGTAAGCTCACCACTCTCACCTCGCTGTAAGCTCACCACTCTCACCTCCCTGTAAGCTCACCACTCTCACCTCCCTGTAAGCTCACCACTCTCACCTCCCTGTAAGCTCACCACTCTCACCTCCCTGTAAGCTCACCACTCTCACCTCCCTGTAAGCTCACCACTCTCACCTCCCTGTAAGCTCACCACTCTCACCTCCCTGTAATCTCACCACTCTCACCTCCCTGTAAGCTCACCACTCTCACCTCCCTGTAAGCTCACCACTCTCACCTCCCTGTAATCTCACCACTCTCACCTCCCCGTAAGCTCCTCGTTCTTACCTCACCGCTTACACCTCCCTGAGTTCCCCACCGCACCTGGGCTCCCTACACTCACCTTCGCACCACCACCTGCATTGCGCACCTTCCTTTGCTTATGCTCCTCCCGTCAACCCCTGGCCTCCCTCCCGTCAACCCGTTGCTCTCCTCCCTTGCCCTCCCTCCGCCCCTCGGTCCATCAGCACTCTGGCGAGCAACCTGCTGCAGGGCCGCCTGGCCTTCTTCACAACGGCCTTCAAGGGGCTCTCCGCGCTCAAGATCCTGTCAGTCGCCACTGCTTGCCCCCTGCCACCTGTCCCGTGCCGTGCCCTATTCCACATCCCACACCTTTTTTTGAAGTGGGCTAGAGTTGGCTCTCATGTTTATCATGGCCTCATGGTAGCAGTGCGCTCGGCTTTTCTGCTTGCACCTTTGCCCACGCCCTCCTTGTGCGGCTGTGCTTCTCACCCTCACTGCCCTCACTCAAGCTCCTTGTACCTGTGCTTGCCCTGCCTTCTCCCTCCCCCCGCCCGCCCGCCACAGCAACCTCAAGTTCAACTTCTTCGCCGGCCCCATACCATCCGCGCTTCTCACCCACCCCACGCTCACCAACCTGTACCTCTCAACCCCTTCCAACCTCTCGCTACATGCCAACTGCTTGCCTCCTTCTTTTTGCTGCCTCTTTCCTCCACTTGCTTCGTCCAGAACCTTTCCCCATGCACCCATCCAGTACCATTCTGCACTGCAATACAAGCCTGCCTGCCCCTGCCCTCTCACTGCCTGCCTTGTACGTCTGTTCTCCACCCACCCGCCTCTGTTGTGCCGCCCTCCCTGTCAGAGACGTGAGCTACAACTACCTCACGGGGACCTTGCCCGCCCTAGGCACAGCGCTCAAGACCCTGAAAATGGGGCTCAACTGGCTGTCAGGCACCATCGGCACGCTCAGCGGCGTGACGTGCTCGGGCTTTTACAACTGCTTCGACACCCAAGGCAGCTGCATCTCCGGCGGCAATGCAAACCGCCCCGGCATCGGCTGTAGCATCTGTGGCAGCGTGAAGGCGGAGGTGACGATGTGCGGGGGGGGGGCTGTGCGTGCCAGATGCTACAGACGCCGTGGCCAATGGGGACGTGCCGTCGCTGTCCACGCCCTATTCGCCCATGTACTGCACGGGAGTCATCCTCGACGCCACTGCTGGTAATGCCCTGCTTTTGAGGCGCCTCAAAACACGCCCACTGTGCCCACGCCCACTGTGCCCACGCCCACTGTGCCCACGCCCACTGTGCCCACGCCCACTGTGCCCACGCCCACTGTGCCCATGTACTGCACGGGGGTCATCCTCGACGCCACTGCTGGTGATGCCCTGCTGCCCTCTCTGCCTTGTGCACACCGTTCTCCATGGCACCGTTCTCCATGGCACCATTCTCCATGGCACCGTTCTCCATGGCACCATTCTCCATGGCACCATTCTCCATGGCACCATTCTCCATGGCACCATTCTCCATGGCACCATTCTCCATGGCACCATTCTCCATGGCACCATTCTCCATGGCACCATTCTCCATGGCACGCCATCACGCACCATCCTCCATGCACGGTGCACCTGAGCAGCCATCATCCTTGGTCACTCACTCATACGACGTTCTTCCCTTGCCTCCCAAATAGTCCTTATCGTTTGTATCGATTTGCCTCGCTCAAGCCATCCTTTCTCGTCCACTCTGCGCCAGTCACGGCACTGGGCAACATCAAGACGGCGCTGGGAGTGACGTTCACCAACTGGGCGGCGCCCACATCGCTGCTCAAGCCCAAGGCGGCAGCGGGCAGTGGCAGCGTGGCGCTCACGGACTGGACGGTCACGGGCGGCTATTGCACCGTGGAGGGGGCAGACCCCCGCCGCTGGCTCGTGGTCCGGCCTGCTCTGTAACTCCCTCGGCCAGCCCGTCAACTTGTGAGCGCCTTCGCACCCTCACCCGCTGCTGCGCTCTCTCTCTTTCCCTCTGCACCCGCCCTGCTCGGGCTGACGCACTGCCTCTCTTGCTGTTCAAGCCGCCATCGGTGCATGCGACCATGCCAGCACCTAGCTCGTCTCCCCACCATGCACCTCCCCCCCTCCTCCCCACCCCATGCTGGCAGGAATCTGAACAATCAGAGGCTCACCGGCTCGCTCCATGCTGACATCAGCAAGCTCTCCACGCTCACCATGCTGTGAGTGCTGCCCACATGCTGCCCTTTGCCCGTGCCGCCCACATGCTTCCCTTTGCCCGTGCCGCCCACATGCTGCCCTTCGCTCAGTGCTGCCGCCCACATGCAGCCCTTTGCCCAGTGCTGCCCATGCTACCTTCTGGTGGGCGCTCATGGGACCATGTCCTCTTAGTCCCACTCCTTACCACCATCATGTCCTCCCCCTCTCTCCTCACCCCTCCCTTCCCCTCCTTGCCCTCCCCTCCCCGTGCCCACTGCTGCTGCGCGACCAGGGATCTGAGCTACAACTTCTTCAAAGTGAGCCTGGACACGTGGGCGGCGCCCCTCAAGCTCTCCACCAGCCTGCTCTCGCTGTGAGTGCCTTGCTTTCTAGGGTAGGATGCTCTCGCTGTGAGTGCCTTGCTTTCTAGGGTAGGATGCTCTCGCTGTGAGTGCCTTGCTTTCTAGGGTAGGATGCTCTCGCTGTGAGTGCCTTGCTTGCTACGATAGGATGCAGTGCAGTCAATCTGTCCTCTCTCACCACTCTTGCTAGGATAGGATGCTGTCGATGTGAGAGCCTTCCCAACCTGCTGTCGCTGCGAGAGCCTTGCTTGCCAGGATAGGAAGCAGTCAGCCTGTCCTCTCTCACCACTCCTCCCTGCCCCCTCTCTCTCCCTGCACTGCCTGCAGCCGCCTCAACAACAACTATTTCTTCGGCTCCGTGCCCCTCTCGCTCGTCTCCTTCTCCAAGCTCACCAACCTGTCAGTGCCCCACCCTGCCCCACCCTGCCCCACCCCACCCTGCCCCACATTGCCCAACCCCACCCCACCTTGCCCAACCCTGCCCCACCTTGGCCGACCCTGGCCGACCCTGCCCCACCACTCTGCCCTCTCCTGCCAAGGCAACCTCATCCGCCCCTATTCTCGTGCCTTTCCCCATCCTCTTGCTATCCGCCATCCCCTCTGCTCCATTCTTCTCTTACCTCTCATCTGTCGTCCGGCCCCACCCCCACCGCTGCCTCTTGTGCCCTATGCTCCTGCTCCCGTGCCCTATGCTCCTGCTCCCGTGCCCTCCCCTCTTGCTTCATACTGCCATCCGTTCTCCCCCCTCATCCGCCCTCCCCCCTCATCCGCCTTCCCCCCTTCTTCCTCCCCACCACCCTACCTGCAGCGAGCTGAACCTGAATGCGCTCACCGGCACGTTCCCCGCACCCATCTCCACCGCACTGAAGCGCCTGCTGGTGGACCGGAACTTCATGGCGGGCACGTTCCCGGCCAACAGCGCCACCTACTGCACCGCCTACGGCAACTGCATCTCCACCTACACCACCTGCAACTCGCTCTACCCCAACTCGCCCGTCTCCAACTGCAATATCTGCGGCATGACCAATGCGCTGGGCACAGCGTGCATGGGCAACCCATGTGTGCCGGTGACACCGTCGCCCATCATAGCCACCAACAGATGGGACCCCATGCCCACCATGCGCTGCGACCCCGTGCCCATCCAATCCACCCAAGGTATACTGCCCGCTGCCTAAAAGTAACTCAACCAGACCAAATGAACTCACCCAGGATAACCCACTCAACAGCTGTTGGCCACCCCCTGAACCTTGAGCCGCTCAGCAGCTCTCCTCAGCTCCTTGCCTCGAGAGCTGGAGTGCTTGAAAAGGCTTAAGGTGCCTCAGATTGGCTGCACCTTCCACATGCTCTCTCCCTCACTCACGTTTTGTGGCGCGTGTTACGACCTCCCTTCTCCCGGTCACCCCTCCAAGGATGACGTATTCTCTCAACTCGACCATGAGTGCTACCCTCACCTTCCTGCTTCATGCACCACTTGTCCCCTCAACTACAGTTCCTGATCGGCTCCCCTCTGTTTGAGGCGCCCAAAAATATTGGCAACCTCAAGCACACACGCCTTGCACCTTCATGCACGACTTGCCCCGCATGCACAAGCCCTGATCGCTTCCCCCCTCCCCACCGTGCATGGCAGCGGCGGCGCTGGTGGCGATGGCACCAGGGCTGTGGACCCAGCCTACGTGCACCATAGCAGGGCAGGCGTCCATCCCCGGCACCCTGCCCCTCGTCTTCTGCAACCCTGCCGGCATGGTCCTCGACATGTACGCCCCCCCCCCCCCCCCCCCCCCCCCCCTCGTGAGCATTTTTTGAGAATTCTAAAAAATCCCCCTGCTGTTCCTGCCTGCTTTTCTGCAACCCCCTGCTCGCCCCGCCCGCCTCTGCCTTGCAAACCCCCATCCGCTCCCTTCACACGTGCATGCTTGTGATGTGACGGGGGTGCATGCCCATGCAAGCATCATGCCCCATGCATGCCTCATGCCCCATGCAAGCATCATGCCCCATGCAAGCCTCATGCCCCATGCAAGCATCATGCCCCATGCATGCCTCATGCCCCATGCAAGCATCATGCCCCATGCATGCCTCATGCCCCATGCAAGCATCATGCCCCATGCATGCCTCATGCCCCATGCAAGCATCATGCCCCATGCAAGCCTCATGCCCCATGCAAGCATCATGCCCCATGCATGCCTCATGCCCCATGCAAGCCTCATGCCCCATGCAAGCCTCATGCCCCATGCAAGCATCATGCCCCATGCATGCCTCATGCCCCATGCAAGCCTCATGCCCCATGCAAGCTTCATGCATGCTCCATGCAAGCCTCACGCGTGCTGGCTACCGTGAAGCTGGCCGAACACATTGTGTGTCCCCGTTTGTAGCGAGCAACCACATTGTGTGTCCCCGTTTGTAGCGGGCAACCACATTGATCACAGATGGGGTATTCCACCGTGCATGCTCGTCATCGCACGTATGTGTGGCATCTCGTCAGAACTCCTATGTTCTTCACGTTTCCCTTGTGTGTATGTATGCCACGTGGCATGGGCTCCTCCCCTGTGTACCACGGTGTGTCTCACAGTGTTCTCTCGGGAGTCAAAGCGAATGGATTCTTCCCCACGGACTCCTCCAAGCTCTCCGCTCTCACCAAGCTGTAAGCTCACTGCGCCACACTGTTCCCATCACACACCACACTGTTCCCATCACACACCACACTGTTCCCATCACACGCCACACTGTTCCCATCACACACCACACTGTTCCCATCACACGCCACACTGTTCCCATCACACACCACACTGTTCCCATCACACACCACACTGTTCCCATCACACACCACACTGTTCCCATCACACACCACACTGTTCCCATCACACACCACACTGTTCCCATCACACACCACACTGTTCCCATCACACGCCACTGCAATTCCATCTATGCCCGTGCCATGCGTTCCTCTCAAACGTCTAACTGCCCAAATGACACCAGCGAGTGCATGCCTGTGTGCTGCGGTGCGGTGTGGCAGGGACCTGTCCGTGAACCTCTTCTCCAACCGCCTGGACACCTTCCTCGCGCCCTTCATTCCCCTCAAGTCCCTCCTCTCCCTGTAAGCTAAGCTAACCCCGCACTCTACGAGCATTTCATGTCCCCTGTTTCACCATTCTCCCGCGGCCACTCTGCCTGACTGCCTGCCTGCCTGCGCTCACTCCAGCCTCTCTCTGCGTGCAATTCCCTAACCCCCTGTCTGCCTGCACCCCCGTCACCCCTCTCTGCCGGCACCCCTGTCGCCCCCCTGCCTGCCCATGAACCGCAGGCGGCTTCACCAGAACTACTTCTCAGGCTCCTTCCCCGCCAGTATCTCCGCCCTCTCCGCCCTCACAGAACTGTAAGCGCCTTCCCTCACTACCCAAAACCTTACTCCCTTTCTCATCAACACATTGCCATCCCTCCATGCCTCACCATAACCGCTCGCGTTAACTCCTCGTTTCCCCATCTCTTCTCTCCTTGTTCCGCCCCCCTTCTTGTCTGCGTCCCCCAACCCATGCGCCAATCCCTTCCACCGCTGTCCACCGCTGGCCACCACTGGGGCATGGCAATGCAGGCGGTTGAACCTGAACTACCTGACGGGCAGCATGCCGGCAGCCCTACCAGCGACCCTCAAGGTGATCGACCTGTCGAGCAACTACCTGGTGGGCACCTTCCCCTCCACCACCGCCACCACCGTCACCTGCGCCACCAACTGCCTGCAGGACGCCTCCAAGTGCCCCGCCGGCACGGCCCAGCGCGCCTCCGGCGGGTGCGCCATCTGTGAGACGCCTGATGCCACGGGCAGGATGTGTGGCGGCGGCATCTGCACGCCCAACGCCACGGCGCTGCTTGCAGCGAGCACGGTGAACACGGGCACGGCAGCCATGTACTGCCTGGGCGCGTCCATGGACCCCGTCATGGGTGAGTGCGGTGCTGGGGTGAGTGCGCTGCTGGGGTGCGTGTGGTGGTGGGGTGTGTGTGGTGGTGGGGTGTGTGTGGTGGTGGGGTGTGTGTGGTGGTGGGGTGTGTGTGGAGAGGAGAGTGCACGCTTGAGGGGTGGAGTGTGAGCAGAGTACAGGATTGCAGCAGCCCCCGCCGTTATGCCGTTTGGATTGATTCAGCACTGCTGCATGCTCAACCACCCCTGCTTTCTCCCCCCTCTGCTCTCTTCCTCCCCCGCCATCCCTCTCCCATGCGCCCCTCCCCCCACCAGGGGCGGCGCTGCTGAACATGAAGGCGTCGCTGGGAGTGACGTTCACGGACTGGGCGCTCGACGCGCCGTGCACCATCCAGGGGCTGCCACCACTGGCAGGCGCCTGGTCCAACGTCATCTGCAACGTCTCCGGCAAAGTCATCTCGCTGTGAGTGCCTCTCGGAGCAATGTGCTGTCGCTGTGAGTGCCTCTCAGGGCAAAGCGTTGCCTGCGGAACATCAACTGCACTCTGTAACGGTGTTGCTGTGCGTGTGTGCGTGTGTGTGTGTGTGTGTGTGTGTGTGTGTGGGCTGTTGGCAACGTGCAGCAATCTGGCGCAGCAGAGGCTCCAAGGGACTATGCATGCAGAAATCTCCAAGCTCACTGCCCTCACCTACATGTGAGCACCCGCACGTGCATTGAAGCCATGCACCTCCCGTTTTCCCTCCACTTTCACTCTATCTTGCCTCATGTTTCTCTTTCAATTCCTCTTCCCACAGCATTCTCACCAACTCTACCTGCTCAGCGCGCACGTGCTGCCCCACACACTGCCCCCTCCCCATGCGCAATGCTGCACCCATGCTCGCTGCGTGCCTCACAGCTGTCCGTCCTTTCCTGGAAGCTGTCTGGCTCCTCTCGTTCCCCGTTTCACCTCTCATACCGTGCCACCCTTCTCACTCTACCCTTATGTGTGTTCGCCTGCGGCCGTGGCAGTAATCTGCGGTCCAACTTCCTGGAGGGTCGGCTGGACGTCTTTGCTGTCAACTTCAAGGCGCTCACATTGTTGAAAGAAGCGTGAGTGATAGCTCCATGGCAACGCCTCACTGCCTTGCCTCGAACATCCATGTTGCTGCAGCACAACCATGTCATCTCCTCGTGCCCTTACACATTCTGAATTCTCTCGTGCCTCTTTCTTAACCACCCACCCCACCTTCTTCCATGTTCTCCTCTGAATTCTCTCCGCCACCACCCCATGCAGCTACCTGGACTTCAACTGGTTCACAGGACCCATTCCGTCCACCCTTGTGGGCATCGCCACCCTCTCCACCTTGTGAGTCTCTTCCACCCTCTCCTTCTCACCCTCTCCTCCTTCTCACCCTCTTGTCCTTCTCACCCGCTTCTCCTTCGCAACCTCTTCTTTTTCTGAGCCTCCACCTGAGCCTCCACCTGAGCCTCCACCTGAGCCTCCACCTGAGCCTCCACCTGAGCCTCCACCTGAGCCTCCACCTGAGCCTCCACCTGAGCCTCCATCTGAGCCTCCATCTGAGCCTCTCGTCCTTGTGAGTTCCACTCTTTGAAGCTCCCTGTTTCCACTCACACGATCTCACACGCATCCCTCCTCCCCCACCCACCCCCTCCAACAGTTCTGCGAGCTACAACTACCTGTACGGCGCCATGCCCACGCCAGGCACGGCCCTCAAGGCCATCACTCTGGACGGCAACTGGCTGTCGGGCACGTTCCCCGGCACCGGCTTCTCCTCCTGCTCCGCCACCAGCAACTGCCTCGCCAGCAGCGGCGCCTGCACCACGCTCAGCACCGTGCAGCGCGCCGCCTCTGCCTGCGCTGTCTGCGACACGCTGGACGGCTCGGGCACCGTGTGTGGCGGCGGCACGTGCGCGCCCAACACCGCTGCGCCTCTCGCGAGCAGCACTCCCAACAGCGCCACGGCGGCCGTGCTGCCGCGCTTCTGTGTGGGCGTGCCACTGGACGCCACACAGGGCAACATCCTGCTGTCGCTCAAGACCACCCTCGGCGTCACCTTCTCTGATTGGACCGCCTCCACACTCGCGGCGCCCAAGGCCAGCAACACCAAGCCCAAGGCGGGCAAGAAGCCCAAGGCGGGCAAGAAGCCCAAGGCGGGGCCGCAGCGGCGTGTGCTGCAAGGGAGGGGGTCAGGGCTGCTGTACGACTGGAGGGCCGTGGGGTCGTGCACCATCGTGGGGCAGACGCCCATCGCTGGCTCCTGGACTGGCGTGCGCTGCTCGCCGCTTGGCCAAATCCTTGCCCTGTGAGTGTCGCCTCTCCTGCTCACCCTCTTTCCTTTCCTCCGCCTTACCTTGCTTGTCTGCCGCGGGTGCTTCTCCAGAGCGTCTCTCACTGACATCTCTCCCCTGCCCTTCTCTGCCCCGGCTGCTGCTGTGTGTGCCCTTGGTGCTGCCTGGACGTGGTATGCAGTGACTTGCGGAGCCAGCTGTTGAGTGGCACAGTGCACTCCGACATCAGCAAGCTCTCCACTCTCACCTCGCTGTAAGCCGCCCCTTCACTGCAATCCATGCATTCATCACATCCCATGCCTACCGGCTGTGCTGCTTGCACCAGACCAGTGGACTTGCCAGCCTCGCTGTCACCGCATGGCAACACACGCCCACCCGCTCATCTCAATCTTTCTCGCTCGTGTCTGCTTGTCTGCCACCTTCATCGCCCATACCCTTCCCTCACGCCCTCCACGGCCTCCACCCCCTTGACTGTGCATGCAGGCGGCTGACGTCCAACCTCTTCTTCAACCGCCTTGACTCCTACATCGTGCCCATCACACCCACCGCCACTCTCAAGGAGCTGTCAGTGCCGCCACGCCCCCGCCCGCCCCTCCATTATCTACCCCCCCCCCCCCCCCTTCCTCCCTGCATTCCCTCCCTTATTGCCCCTGGCCTCTGCTCTCGTGCTCCTCCTTTACTTCATTTGTGCTCTCTCTCCACTGCACCCCACCCCAGCACATTGTTTATTTGCGTGCTAACAATACACCTTATTTTCGCGCATGTGCACGTGCGTGTCTTATGCATGGATGTTCATGTCTATGCATGTGCACGTGTGCATGTGCATATGTGTTGTGTGTATGTGCTCCCTCATCCCTCATCCCAACCCCCACCAGCCACATCAACTCCAACTGGTTCTACGGCACCATCCCAACCACGCTCGTCAACATGCCAGCCCTCTCCTTCCTGTAATGCCCTCGCCCCACTTTCTCCTCCCTTTTCCTGAACCTCCTGACCCACTGCTTCCGTCCCTTTCACGTCGTTCCAAACTCTTTGCTTCCATGCTCTTCTGATGCATGGGTGGTTCTGCCATGTGTGCCTGTGTGCGTGTGCCTGTGTGTGTGTGCGTGTGTGTGTGCGCGTGTATGTGTGTGCCTGTGTGCCACTGTGTATTTGCCTGTGTGCCTGTGTGCGTGTGCTCCTGTGTGCCTGTGTGCCTCTGTGTGTGCTCCGGTGTGCCTCTGCTTCTCTGCACACCACACAGCATGTTGGGCAACAACTACCTCACGGGCGTGCTGCCCAAGCCAGCGGCGGCAATGAAGGCGCTGGACACGGAGTACAACTTCCTCTGGGGCACCTTCCCCGCCGCCACGCTCGCCTACTGCTCAGCGCGCGCCAACTGCTTCCTCGACGCCAAAGCCTGTTTCAGCATTGACGGGGTGGATCAGAGAGGCGCCGGCTGCAACGTGTGTGGGTCCAGCAACGGGCAGCTGCCGCTGTGCGGCGGGGCGGTGTGCACGCCGGACCCCTCGGCATATGTGGCGTCCAAAGTGCCTAACAGCGCCACCGCGCCCACCCTCGCCCTCAAGTGCCCCGCGCTGCCCCTCGACGCCACCTCCTGTGAGTGCCTTCCTGCTCCTGTCCTGCCTGCTCATGCCACGCCTGCTGCACCCGTTTGTGCCGCCTCGCCTTGCACCATGCCATGTTGCCATCCCTTCCGCCATGCCACTCTTGCACGCACTTGCAGTGTGATGCGCTCCTGTGCGCTGCTGCCTGCTACCTTCCCTGCTGCTCACGTGCCCGTGTGCATGGGCGTGCACCCATGGGTGTGCATGGGCATGTGTGCATGGACGTGCATGGACGCTCACTCATGTGTGCTTCGGGCTGTCCCCATGCACTCGTCCTGTGAGCAGCGGCGGCGCTGCTCAACATAGGGGCGGCGCTAGGAGTGACGCACACGGACTGGAGTGCCAGCAGCGGGTGCAACATCATCGGGCAGGCCATCGCGCCCAAGTCCTGGCCTGGCGTCTGGTGCAGCGGCAGCGGCGCCGTTGTCTCCCTGTAAGCCTCTCTGCCCTCCTTACCTCCCCTGTCTCGCTCTCTCTGTCATCTCCTCCCCCAACTATCTCCACCTTCCATATCGTCCACCTCTCATGCTCATCCTCTGCCGTCCCTCCACCTCCCCACCGTGCATGATGCCATGGCATGGCAGCATATTGGACAACATGAAGCTCACAGGCACCATCCATGCGGACATGACCAAACTCACAGGCATCACCTACCTGTATGTGCATCACCTACCTGTATGTGCGACCAACCTCGTTCCCAGCTGTTACCTATTCTTGTGTTCTCGTGTTGGCCCATTCACTTGTGGGCCTGCAACGCTCTTCTCATACACTGCTTCTAACCCTTTCTCCCTTTTCTCCCCATTCCCTCCACCATCTCCGCCATTCTCCTCCACTCCACGCCCCATCCCCCCCGAGCAGGAGCCTGGGCTACAACCTGCTGTACGGCCGCCTCTCCACCTTCATCTCCAGCATCACGCCGCTCACCTCCATTGTCACCCTGTGCGTCCCCTCACCCTCTCCCTTCTCCTCCTCTCACCTTCTTCCGACATGCCTCACAGCCTCCTCTAACAAGCCCCATTCGCTTCTTCATACTGCATTTCCCTGGCTCTGAATCGACCCTTCCGCTGCCGTCTTGTCACCCGCCTACCTCACTCACACACCATGCGACTCCTTATTTTCCCCTGCATGTGCCTCCCTGCATGTGCCTCCCTGCATGTGCCTCTCCCTGCATGTGCCTCCCTGCATGTGCCTCTCCCTGCATGTGCCTCCCTGCATGTGCCTCTCCCTGCATGTGCCTCCCTGCATGTGCATCCGGCCTACCAGCAACCTGCACGTCAACTACCTCTACGACTCCGTGCCGTCCACGCTGCTCAACATGGCGTCCCTCACAGAAATGTCAGTTCCGAGCAAACACACCACACCTGTCACACCTACAGGCTGCATATATACTCCACCCACCACGCACTGCTTGCACAAGGCCTATGCACATGCAGCTATGGGCAGTAGGCTTTAGTGCCAGGATCTCTTGGCCTCGGGTGCTACACGCCCCTATCAAGTCGTTCGTATTCATGCGGCGGTGCCAACACAGGCAAGGGGCGAGAGAAACAGGTGTCTGTGCCATATGCAAACATCCCCTCCCTCGGCCATCTCTCCCTGTTGCTTCACTACCGCGGTTGACGGTGCAAATCGACACAACCAACTTGCTCTCCCATTCTGCACTCCATCTTCCCTCCATCCATATGTCCACACACGTCCCATCCATCTCCCCTGTGCCCCATGCAGGCGTCTGTTTGCCAACTACCTCACAGGCACGCTGCCAGCCGTGGCCACCAAGCTCAAGTACCTGGCCGTCAACAACAACTTCCTGGCGGGCGCCTTCCCCTCGCAGGCCTTCCAGTTCTGTGACGTGCGCAGCAACTGCTTCTCCTCCCCGGGCACCTGCACCAACGCCAATGGCGTCGCGCAGCGCACCTCCGGCTGCGCCATCTGCGCCACCACCAGTGCCGCCCCGCCCCTGTGCGGCGGTGCTCCGTGCATTCTGAACGCGTCTGCCCCCCTGGCGGCTGGCACGGTGAACAGCCTCACGGCCGCCCTGCAGCCGTTCTACTGTGGTCCCGCCACCATTGATGCCACTGCTGGTGAGATGACACGTGCTGCCTGCATGCACATGGTAGGCTGACACACATATGACACACGTGCATGCCATGGCACACACATGCACGCCATGACACACACAGTGCACCTTGCCTCTTTCACCCGGCTCTCTCCTCACCACTCTCCCACCGCTCTCTCTCCCAATTCCTTTTCCCACCCCCCTTACCCCCGGGGCGTGCGATAACAGCGCAAGCGCTGCTGGTGCTGAGGGCGGCGCTGGGAGTGACGCAGAGCAACTGGCTGGTGGACTCGCCGTGCGACATTGCAGGCAATCCCCCCATGCCCGGCAGCTGGGTGGGCGTTGGCTGTGACACCACCGGCCAAGTCGTCTCCCTGTGAGTGCCGCGCGCTATGCATGGTGTCCCGTGCATGCATGCCTGTGCGCATGGTGTGCCATGCATGCATGCCCGTGGGCATGTTGTGCCATGCATGCATGCCCATGCGCATGATGTGATACTAATGCTTGGGGAGAATACAGAGGATGGGGAGTTCAGTTTTTGTCACTTCGCTGCTGTTCCCACAGCCCGTCATTGCTCCAATGATTTGCTGACTCACTCCTTCTCCTGTGTGTTTCTTATGCTGGCATGCTGCATGGTGGCATGGTGTGTTGATGACGTGCTGACGTCACTGCAGGGAGCTGCCGAGCAGCGGGCTGAGAGGGAGTCTGCCTGCGGACGTGACGAAGCTCACTGCCCTCACCAGGATGTGAGCCCCCCCCATCCCCCCCTGCACCTGCTCTCACTCGCATCACCCACTTGCCACACGCATACAACCCTCCTCTTCTGCTCTCCATGCAGCATGCAACTTGCTCATGGATGCGTGTGCCATGCCCATGCGCACCAACCACCCTCCGTGACCCTCGTCTCGTCTCCTATCCTTCCTTCCTCTTCCCCCCCCACTCCTCCTCCTCCCCCCCCCCCCCCCCCCACAGCAACATGGCGGGCAACCTGTTGGAGGCGCGCCTGGGCGAGTGGGCCACGGGGCTCTCCACGCTCAAGGCGCTCAAACACCTGTCAGTGCCCTGCCCACCCGGCCCACCCTGCCCGCCCTGTCCTTGCTTCCTGCCCTGCCCCGCCTTGCCCTCCCTGCTCTCCCTTACCCTCCCTCGTTGCCTTCCTGCCGTCCATGCCCTCCCGGTCCTCCTTGCCCTCCCGGTCCTCCATGCCCTCCCGGTCCTCCTTGCCCTGCCTTCCATCCTTTCTCTTGCTTTCCCTGTTACCGCATCCACCTGCCCTCCATCCACCTTAACTCTGACGTTTGCTTTTCTCCAACCTTTTCCATCCCTCACCTCTCCACCCTCCACGTTTTCACGCGTCACCAAACAGCGCTCTCAACTACAACTGGTTCTCCGGCCCTCTGCCGTCCTATCTGCTCACCCTCTCCTCCCTCACAACACTGTAAGTGGCACACATATGTGCGCATGCACACACACACACACACACACACACACACACACACACACACACACACACACACACACACACACACACACACACACACATGCACACATGCACACATGCACACATACACGCATGCATGCATAAGCATTGACACACACCCACACAGAGTCACACATCACACATTCGTGCAAGCATCTCTTGGTGTCTATCCGCCTCATGTCATCCCACCACCCACACCCCAACTCCTCCAACCACCATGCATGTCTGCCACTCACCATTTCCCTCTTTCTTCTCTCCCCCACCCTTCTACCCTCCGACCCCTGCTTCTGGAGCAACAGCAACGTGCAGTTCAACTATCTCACCGGCACCATCACCGGCGCCCCCGCGGCGGCCCTGAAGACGCTCAACGTGGCGTCCAACTTCCTGGCGGGCACCTTCCCAGCATCGGCCACCACCATGTGTGACGCGCGCAGCAACTGCCTCACAGACGCCTCCAAGTGTGTCTCCTCGGGCTCCTCCGCCCAGCGCGCCTCCTCTGCCTGCGCCATCTGCGGCGCTGCCAGTGCGTCCGCGCTGCTGTGCGGGGACGGCGTGTGTGCGCCCAACACCGACTCGGTGGCGCCTATCAAGTCACCCAACAGCGCATCCGCTGGCGTGCTGCCCATGCGCTGCACCGGCGTCCGGCTCGACCCCGCTGCCCGTGCGTCCCTTGCCTCCTCCCTGCGCCTCCCCCCTGTGCCTCCCCCCTGCCCCTGTTCCTCCTCCCTGTTCATCCTCCCTGTGCCTCCTCCCTTTGCCTCCCCCCTGTCCCTGTGCCTCCCTCCCTGTGCCTCCTCCCTGTGCCTCCTCCCTGTGCCTCCCCCCTGTCCCTGTGCCTCCTCCCTGTGCCTCCTCCCTGTGCCTCCTTTCTGTGCTCCTCGGCTGCGCCATCCTCTCTCCCTGCCCTGCTTGCCATGCACTCTGCCATCTCTATGTGAACCTCCCTGCCACCCACTCTCCTTCTCCTCTCCGCATCCCTGCATCCCGGGCCCCCTCTGCACACCTCCCTCCTGGCAGTGCCGATTCTGGCGAACCTCAAGACGGCACTGGGAGTGCCGCACCAGGGGTGGGGCGTGCAGACGCTGTGCTGTGTGACGAATCAAGTGAGGGGGCCGGACGACATGTCAGGCGTGTACTGCAGCCCACAGGGCATCGTGGTGGACTTCTACCTCAAGCAGCGCCTCATGCGCGGCATCATGCACCCCGACATCTCCAAGTTCACCGCCCTCACCGCACTGTCAGTGCCGCTCTGCTGTTCTTCCAACTCTGCTGCTCTTCCAACTCTGCTGCTCTTCCAACTCTGCTGCTCTTCCCTCTCTGCTGCCCTTCCCTCTCTGCTACTTCTTCCCTCTCTGCTTCTCTTCTCTCTCTCCTGCTCTTACCTCTCTACTGCTCTTCCCCCTCTTCTTCTCTTCCCCCTCTGCTGCTCTTCCCTCTCTGCTGCTCTTCCCCCTCTGCTGCTCTTCCCTCTCTGCTGCTCTTCCCTCTCTTCTACTTCTTCCCTCTCTGCTTCTCTTCTCTCTCTGCTTCTCTTCAATCTGCTTCTCGGCACACCACCGCACCCCCACAAGGGGACTCGCTCGGGCTCGTCCCCTATCCCTCCCATCCCCTCATTCCGCCCACTCCCCACTTCTGCCCTCCCCCTCTCCGTCCTCTGCCTTCGTACAGGGATCTCTCAAACAACTTCCTCTCGGGCCCCTTGGACCCATTTGTCTCGCCACTCACCGGCCTCACTGCTCTGGGCTCCATGTACGCTCCCCCACCACCCGCGTCCCCCTGCTCGCTCTTGCTTCTCCCGGTGCTCCCAGACCACAAAGCTTGTTCGTAGCCGTTCTCATTCACCCCTTCCGCCCGCCTCTCCGCATCCCTAACCTGCTGTTTGGATGCCTCCCCTCCCCCTCCTCCTCTTCTCTCCCCTTCCCCCTCCTCTCTCCCCCTCCCCCTCTTCTCTCCTTTCCCCCTCTTCTCTCCCCCCTCCCCTCTTCTCTCCCTCATCGCCTCGTCTCTCTCCGCCCCACGCCACAGAGTCATGAGTTACAACTTCTTCTCGGGCTCGGTACCGGCCTCCATCACCGCCATCAAGGCCCTCACCTTGCTGTAAGCCCACCACTTAGACTCCACTCAAGCTCACCCTCTCCATGCTATAAGCCCACTACTCTCTTGCCTCTACCACCACACGTCCCTCACTCCCGCAAACCTTCCCTCCGCTCTTGCTTCTCCTCCCCCGCGCCTTCCCCGCGCCTCCCCCGCGCCTCCCCCGCGCCTCTCCCCCGCCTCTCCCCCGCCTCCCCTCGTGTGTGCACCGCAGGAGCCTGGGGTGGAACTACCTGACGGGCACGTTGCCAGCGGTGGGCACGGCTCTCAAGATCCTGGACACAGAGTACAACTACCTCACCGGCACCTTCCCCAATGTTGCCTGGTCCCTCTGCTCCGCGCGCTCCAACTGCTACAAGGACGCGTCGGGCTGCAAGGCCAACAACAATGCGGGCACGGTGCAGCGCGCCTCCTGCGCCATCTGCGGCAGCGCGGACGGCACGGGCGTGCTGTGTGGCGGCACCGTTCCCTGCCAGCCCGACCCCACCGCTGTGAAGGCCGCAACTGTGCTGCCCTCGCCCACCACGCCTCAGCTTGCTGTGGGCTGCCCACCCGTGCCGCCAGTCACTACCGACGCTACCGCAGGTACAATTCGCACTGCGTGTCGCGCCTGCTTGTGCAGTGCTGCTGGGCAGTGCTGCTGATGGCAATATGCATCTCTCTCGCTTACTGCATACGCTCAAGGAACGGCGTCAGAATGCTCCCCATGTGCATGCCCACGCCTTTCACCAATTTTCTCCCCATGTGCCCAACCACCCTCATTCCACCAGCATCGGCGCTGATGAACGTCAAGGCGGCGCTGGGCGTGACATACACGGACTGGGCGACCTCCTCCACGTGCACAGCCCTTGGCAGCACGGGCGGTGGCGGGTTCACGGGCGTGCAGTGCAACTCCCTGGGCACCCCCGTCAAGATGTGAGCATCAGTAGCTGTAGGGGGAAGCAGGGAGACGCGGGCAGAGGGAGGAGCAAGGGGATTTCAGGGTTGAAAGAGGGAAGGGACTACTGCCACCCCGTGAAGTTATCATTCTTCCCCCAATATCGGTTTTCCATCCTTGTCCCACCATGGCCTGCTTCCCCTTCACTCACTCCACTTGCTTCCTGCCGTCTTGCGTCACCCCGATTCCATCCCTCAGCTCCCTGGACAGCCAGAAGCTGACTGGCATTCTGCATGCTGACATCACCAAGCTCACTGCGCTCACATTCATGTAAGTCCTCACAAATGCGTAGTCATTAACATCTGTGTGAGCACTCACATTCGTGCAAGTACTTTGAAATCTGTAAGCACTTGCATGTCAGAGCGCTCACAACTACAGTAGCACCCGCTTGCGTCCTGCCTGGAGCCGGTTTGCTTGTGGAATGGTTACCTTCCTCCCATTCGACCTTTGCAACTACCCTTCACCTTTCAACCATGTCCCTCTCCCTCCCCTTCTCCCTCCCTCCCCTCCCTCCCCTCCCTCCCCTCCCTCCCCTCCCTCCCCTCCCTCCCTCCCTCCCTCCCCTCCCTCCCCTCCCTCCCTCCCCTTCCTCCCCTCCCTCCCCTCCCTCCCCTCCCTCCCCTCCCTCCCCTCCCTCCCCTCCCTCCCCTCGTACCCTCCCCCAACCCTGTGGAACTGGCTGTGCCGCACAGCTCACTCAAGTCGAACCTCCTCAACAAGCGTCTTGAGGAGTTTGCGAGTCTCATTCCCTCGCTGCCCAACCTCGCAGTGCTGTGAGTCGCCTCCCAACCAGTGCCGTGATTCAAGTGCATGTCCCACTACCCAATGCAGTGGATCCACTGCCTCTGCTCTTGTCTTGCTACCATGCCTTGCCAGCTGCACCTCTCTGTGCACTTCGCCATAACGAGGGGTTGCTGTGTGTCTCTGTGTGCATGTGCATGTGTGTGCATGTGCTTGTATGTGCATGTGCATGTGTGTGCATGTGTGTGCATGTGCACGTGTGTGCATGTGCATGTGTGTGCATGTGCATGTGTGGGCCTGTATCTGCATGTGCGGCATGTGCCACTCCTGCAGCCTGCTCGACTTCAACTGGTTCTACGGCAGTCTGCCCCCTGCGCTCGTCGCCATGCCCAAGCTCACAACCCTGTCAGTGCCTCTCCAATCACCGCCTTCTCATTGCCATGCACTTGCCCACTGCTAAGCAAACCTTGATCTCGATTCAATCCTATTGCTTCTTTCTCCTCCATCCACTCTCACCTCCAGTCTTCTTAAACCGGCACTTTGCCTCCCCCTCTCCCTCCTGTCTCCCCTGTTCCTTGCACCAGTGGCCTGTCCTACAACTACCTGACGTACCGTGTGCCACCATTGGCCGCGGGGCTCAAGGACATCGACGTGGGCTTTAACTTCCTCTCGGGCTCCTTCCCGGCCAACACCGCCACATCATGCGGCGCCAGCAACAATTGCTTCCAGAGCGTCACCACGTGCGCACATCCGGCTGCAGCAACTTGTGCCAGGCCACCGCAGGCCAGGGCATGCTGTGCTACGGCAACGGCGTCTGCACCGCCAACGCCTCGTCGCTTATTGCCGCCGGGACGCCCAACACTGCCGGCGCAGCCATTCTGCCGCTGGGTTGCGTCAGTGAGTACCGGTGCTCAGGGGGGTGCTGCTGCTGCCACTGGTGCACGTGCGACTAGCACTGCCATCCTCAGCATTGCCTCACCTTGCCACTCACTCTCCTCTCCCCTTGCCCTGCCCACCTGTTCCTCTGCTTGTGCGTGCAGATGTGGTGTGCCGCACCGGCTCGCCACAGATGTGCCCTAATGACTGGCGCTGCGTCAATCTGCAGTGCTACACGAGCAACATCGCCAACTGCTACGGCTACCTCTGCATCCATTCTGCCCACCTGCTGGACGGCCACTATCCTGCCTGCAGTGCTGTTCGCTTTGCTACAGGGCTTTTTGGTTTACCGCAGGACTGCTGCAGGGCTAGTATTTGGTTTGCTGCAGGACTAGTATTTGGTTCGCTGCAGCGCTATTCGGCTTGCTGCAGGGCTATTTGGCTTGCTGCAGGGCTATTTGGTTTGCTGCAGGGCTATTTGGCTTGATGCAGGGCTATTTGGTTTGCTACAAGACGATTTGGTTTGCTACAGGGCTATTTGGTTTGATCTATGCACTAGTCATGTAGAAGACATTCGTGGGTTTGGAGAACTTGTGGTGTAGAGTGAACCGTCTCCCAAACCCTGTAGGTTAGGGAACTCTCTTTGTTAACAACACTTTTTTGGAGACTCGGTTATTCCTCCTAACGTGGTTAACTTCACTGTCAAGAGTAGTGCGAGCGGAGTAGTGAATGAATAGCAAGGATGAGATGTCAAGAAGGGATGTGTGGATTGAGTAGGATGAGAGTACAAGTAAGGGGTTGTACTCACTAGAGTATGCCCCACTGCAGCCTAGAGCATACAAAACATAGTTTGACACACCCCCATAGGCAAAGTGGGGGATAGCAAACACAACAGACGGTCACAAGACCAGTCAAGCAAGAGAAAGCTAAGCAAAGTTTAGGGTGGATCTCAAGATCACCACACATTCTGAGCACAAGCAAGCGGCCACAAGGCCAGTTCACATGCAGAGTTTATAAAAGCAATTGCAGTACACTTATCACAACCTAGCAAGAGCAAACATGCAGTTATAATCATATATATCAGAGTATAGCAAGTGCAAGGTAAGATCAAGAGACAAGCAGGTGAGGCAGAGTGGGCACAAGCCCAAGAGCAGTGCAGAAACGCTGCTGATCACTAGACCCAAGGGCCTTGGTGAAGACATCAGCAGTGTTGGCCTGTGTGGCCATGTAAGCAAGACGAAGCCGACCACGCTGCTGCAGCTCTCACGTGAGGAAGCAACGGAGAGCAATGTGCTTCGTTTTGTGCTCCAGTCTCTGGTCCTGACACAAGGCAATCATGGCCTTGTTGTCGACATACAGAACTAGAGGAGAACGAGGCCGCTCACCCAAGTCGGTCAGCAGGTAGGTCAGCCAGCGGAGCTCCTGTGCAGCCATAGCCCCAGTGTAGATCTCGGCCTCACAGCTAGAACTAAGTGCAGAAGAAGAGCGAGTGGACCTCTACGAGACAGAACCAGTGCCGAGGCTGAAACTGTACCCCTGTGTCGACCGGTGAGTCGTTTGGTCGTCAGCCCAAGAAGCGTCTGAGTGACCGGTGAGAACAACTGAACCACGTCCTCCAATCACGAGCCGCATGCCCGATGTACTGCACAAGTAACGCAATACCCTCTTCGCAGCTTCCCAGTGCACCTTTCGGTGTCTACCAGGAGCTACGTAGCGAGCCAGGAGGCTGAGAGGGTACGCGAGGTCAGGTCGTGTGCACGTCATCAGGTACATGAGGCAGCCCACAAGCTCTGGGTACGGACCACTCGGCTCTACGGACTCGTCTGAAGGTGGAGCTGAGAGCGAGTGGCCGGTAGACAAAGGAGTGGGCTGTGGCGAGGACCACGAGAAGTCGAAGCGCTGAAGGACCTGTTGCACCATGTGTGACAGAGTGAGGGTGATGGTGCAGCGTGCTCTGTCCCAGGTGATCTGCAAGTCAAGATAGCTCCGCAGCTCACCCAGGTCAGTGCAAGTGTGTCTCTCGTACAGCTCCGCCTTCACTAAGGCCAGAGCCTCAGTGTCAGCAGTAGCAAAAACCAAGTCGTCAACGTACACAAGAACGTAGAACGGCGGCAGAGAAGTGTCTGTGCGCAGAAACAGCGAAGGGTCAGCAGTCGAGGGAGCGAAGCCAAGAGCCGCAAGTATCATCCTCAGTGTGTCGTGCCACTCGCGGGGCGCCTATCGTAGGCCGTAGACTGGTCGCCGAAGACTCCACTGGGTACCCTCAGGAAACGACCCAGTGAAGCCACGTGAAGGCTGCCCTGCAGGAAGGCTATCGAGAAGTCGAGGGGTGCAGCTCGTAGTCGCGCTGTGCTGCAACGTGCAGTAGCACCCGAAGACTGGTCATCTTCGGGGTGGGGGAGAAGGTCTAGAAGAAGTCAACCCCGTCACGCTGACTGAAGCCTCGTGCAACGTAATGCGCCTTGAAGGCAGGCGGATAACCCGGCGGCTGCTTCACCCTGAAAATCCACATGCCATCGACTATGTTCGCCCCATGTGGGGGAACCTCGTCAACGTAGGTGTCTATGGACTTCCAGGAAGCCATCTCTGCGTCCATGGCTATCTGCCACTGAGAGGAGTACGGACCCGTGATCGCCTCTGTGTATGTGCGTGGGGTCGGGATGTCCAGTGCATCCGGGTCTCCCTCAGGGCAAAGTAGCATGGACGTGAGATGAGGTGCAGCGGCCGCTAGGCACTCCAGCTCAAACTGCCTGTCCTCAAGAACGTCACAGCCAAGGGCAAGCTCACCCCCGACGGCCGGAGGACAGGAAGAGTAAAAAACAAGACTCGCAGCGTAGTCAAGGCGGCACAAAGCAGCGAAGTCAACAAGCTCAGCAACTAAGGCAGACGCAGCAGTAGACTCAAAGGAAGGGTCAGTCACAACCGTGGCAAGAAGACGAGTGACAGTCGGACTGGCAGTACGGACAAGGTCTGACTAAGGGTCTGGAACGTGAGGAAGAGAAGACGCAGGAGGAGACGGTAGGACAACACGCTGTGGAACAGAGGAAGGACGAAGTGCCATACGGTGAGTGCCTGGCACAGCGGGAGCACGAGGACGGGCAACACGACGACCGCGAACAGGTGTGGAAGCACGAGTCGCAGGCTCACAACGCTCAGAGCAAAACTCAGTCACCTCTGTGTGAGGAGCAGGAGCAGGCAGTGGGGAGCCAGGAAGTAGCTGTGGCTGAGACTGGTCAGTCGGTGGGAACAGCAACGGAGGAGTAGTACCAGCAACCGGGAACTCAGTAGCAGCAGGCGGGAGACTGAGAAGGTGACGAAGCGCAGACTGCTGCGGCTGAGTAGTCACCCCCCCAGAACCTCGAGCCCCAGTAGGAACAGCACCCCCAGAACCAGTACCACCAGCTCCACCACTGGGAATGGCCCAACAGACAGCCCACGCGCGAAGCTGCTACGGTGAGAGCGACTCCTGCCGACTAGCACCACCAACTCCAGTACCTCCAGTAGCACCTCTAGTGTCAGCACCGCCAGTACCCCCAACTCGTGGAACAACAGCACTAGCACCTACAGGGCCAGCACCTCCAGTACCTCCAGTAGCACCTGTGCCTCCAGTACCAGTACCTCCAGCACGGCCAACTCCAGGAACACCAGCACTAGCACCTCCAGGGCTAGCACCTCCAGAACCTGCAGCTCCAGTACGTCCAGCGCCACCACCAGGTTTGCCCCAACAGACCGCCCACTCGCGAAGCCGCTCCGGCGAGAGAGGCTCCTGGCGATGTGAGCCAGGACTGCCCGCAGCAGCACCCACAGCAGCAGCACCTCAAGTACCTCTAGTAGCACCTGTGTCTCCAGCACCAGTACCTCCAGCACGGCCAACTCCAGGAACACCAGCACTAGCACCTCCAGGGCCAGCACCTCAAGAACCTGCAGCTCCAGCACGTCCAGCGCCACCACCAGGGCTGCCCCAACGGACAGCCCACTCGCGAAGCCGCTCCGGCGAGAAAGGCTCCTGGCAACGTGAGCCAAGTCTACCCACAGCAGCACCCACAGCAGCAGCACCTCCAGTACCTCCAGTAGCACCTGTGCCTCCAGCACCTGTACCTCCAGTACGGCCAACTCCAGGAACACCAGCACTAGCACCTCCAGGGCCAGCACCTCCAGAACCCGCAGCTCTAGCACGCCAAGCGCCTCCACCAGGACTGCCCCAACGGATAGCCCACTCGCGAAGCCGCTCTGGCGAGGGAGTCTCCTGCCGACGTGCACCAGCACCACCAGCACCAGCACCACCAGCACCCGCACCACCAGCACCTCTACTCGCAGAACCTCCAACAGCAGCACCTCCAGCACCCACTGCACCCATAGGACTCGCAGCACCCCCAGAGCCAGCACCCCCAGAGTCCGCACCCCCAGTGTCACCACCTCCAGCAGCACCAAGAGTCCACAGCGACGGGCCGCAGAGGCGGTGAAGACGGTCGAGGCGGAAAGCCAGGAGGGAACCCCAAGCGCGCGGAGCGGCGAGGGGCCACGGTGTCGGTAGCAGTCTGGTCACCCCCCTCAGCTGGGCCAGAGGTGTCTGAGGAGACCTCCAAAGGCTCAACCAAGGGGGGTGGGTCTACTTGAGACACACCTGAGGGAGCGGGACTGGGAGGAGGAAGGGGGGCTACCGGGGGGGGTGTCGTCCACGAGGGAGAGAGGCGGAAGGGGTACCGGGGAACTGCGGTGGGGGTGAAGACGGTAGCAGCAGACGGACTCGTCAAAGGTGACGTCGCGGGAGGACAGCACACGACAAGAGCCAGGGTGGTAAAACTGCCAGGGCGGTGCGTCGGTGGGAAAGCCAAGGAACACGCACCTAAGAGTGCGTGGAGAAAGCTTGCCCGCAGGCAAATCGTGGACAAGAGAGAGGGAACCCCAGACCCGAAACGCCGACGCATCACCAACCTCGCCCGTCCACCGCAAAGTGGGGGAGGTCTCCGGGTGGGAGACACGGGGCCAGAGGTTGTGCTGCTCAGCGGCGCATCGGATCG